TGACTTCCAATCAATGGGTCACGGGTTTGAAATCCGGCTCCAGGTAGTATCATTAGCCCTAACACAATAGGTGCGCCTCATTGCTCGTTGCACAAATGTGCACAAGATTATCAAGAGCTTGAACAAACCTAAATATATACTCCAAATAGATTTGGTAAAAATGTTTTGAAAAGTTTACACTGAATTGATCAGATGTTACTCAATTGGGGATTTCTGCTAACTGACTAGGAACTGTCGTTACGCACCGACATCAATTCCACACATGACTTTGGGTGCTAATCACTTTAATACTATAATTCCCGTACACAGAGGACAACATTAGAAAGCCAAGATCGAATACTCTGGGAAAAGGCTGAAAATGTGGCTGTAATCTGCTATGTGGTTAGCAGTGGAATCCAGAACGCGCGTTTCATCCCATTTGGGATTCCTCAGCCAGGTACACATGCATCCCATTCAGGCTTTAGCCGAGTACTCATCACTTCAAATGCCACAGCGTTATACACTAGGCTACTGAGGTAACAGAGCTACCCACTTATGGAACGAGTATCAGCGTTTTTTTATTAGTACTCCTATTCTCCCGTCGTTATATTTTGATGACATTTTACATGTCTGTAGTTTCTTGGAAATGCTTTTCGTAACGCGCCAAGTCTCTGAACCATCATATAGAAGCACTGACTAACTTGACTGAATTTGTGTTGAAAATCCGGATGTTGTTCACGCTTTATGCTGAGTGCAGTGCAGCAGATTTCCACACTGATTTCAGATTAATGAAGGTCTGTCTTGCTGTCTTTCTGGTCCTGGCTTTGACGTTCTTATCTGTGCCGCCGCTTGTAGTTAAAACGATGCCACCTACTTAGGTAGGTGGGAGACATAACTTCCTTCGGATTTCTCCCGTTGATGGTGATTGATGCCTGTTGTTGTTTTTGGTTAGGTATCTTCATCACCTCTATCTTCTCTACGTCCACCCGAAGGAAGTCCCGTCTTCACTTCCCTGCTTTTTCTGCCAACTTGTTAGTTTTTGCCTGTAGATCTTCGGGTTTGTGCGACAAGACAGACATAAATCATCATGGGCGAAATCCAAATTTTGTAGGGTCTTTTCATCGGTCCAGCCAGTGTATGCGCTTCTTTTTGCTCCTCACAATTGTCAGGTGCATGATCTCGTCCAGTCGAGTCGACCACAATCAAGAAGATCATTGGTAATAGTAGGCGGCAACTTTGTCTGGTCTTAATCCTGTCTTCACTCCACTCCAAAGGCATTACTGAGCTTTCCATTGTCAATCACTTAGCATGTAGCATCATCATATAGCTGCTGTTGAATGAAGTGATAAAGGTTTGTGGCACTAAGACCGTAGTGTCGAAACAGTTTCCAGAATACTTCTTGGTCGACGAAGTCGAAAGCCTTTTCAAAGTGGATGAAGTTGAGGTAGAGAGTTGACTGACTGTCATTCTATGCTCTGTTCTATGATGATGCGCAGCATAACGTGGGAATTTGATCTACACTTGATTTGTTCTTCCTGAAGCCTGCTAGTCAGCCTGTTCCGGTTGTAATGTTGAATGCAGGGCATTTTTTAGTCTCACCAGGATGATGCGGCTTAATATTATGCCAGGTGTCGACATGAGCATGATTCCACGCCAGTTCTTGTAAAGACTTAGTCTGCTCTTCTTTGCAAGTTTGACAAGGTAGCCCTTCTCCCAACCAGTCGGCAGGTACCTTTCCTCCCAAACCTTCTGTAATAGTGATGTATGTCAGCTGATGTCTGTGCGTCTGTTTTCAATGCTTATGGTGGAATTCCATCTGGTCCCACTGCTTCCCCGGATTTCAGCAACTTTATTGAGTTCAAGACTTCACTTCGGCTTTTGTCGGAGGGTTTGTATTTACTGATAGTTCCGTGACTGTGCTGTTGGTGGTATTTCTGGACGAGTTGCTGGTGGTGGCGGTGGTATTGTTCGATTCAAGAGATTTTTGAAGTAATCAGCCCATTGTTTCATTTGTTTCTCCTCTTTAGTGGTGACTAAGTTTCCTTCACTATCCTTCATTGGTTTCACCTGTGCTGTGCTGATCTCTTCCCAGATAGTAACTTGGTTATTCGATATAGTGTTGTCAGGTCTCTCCCACCTGCAGCCTGTTCTGATTAAGCTGGAAGTGCGCCAAAGAAGTGTCTTTTGTCTTTGCACGCACTCTTCTTCACTTCTTTGTCCGGTGTAGCGTTTATAGGTTGTATTCAGTCCCTCTTTTCGTTGTTCATCCCTGCACTACACTGCTTCATCTTCTGCTTCACCATCTTCCTCTCCCTCTTCTATCAGCTTCCATGTGTCCGTGGAGACGCATTCCTTGTCTTGCTTCTTCTTCCTTCCTAACACGACTATGCAGGTTTGTTTCCACATTTCTTTCGAAGAGTTCCAGTTTTCTTTCACGCAGGTTTCCTCAGGGATGTCGCCTAATGTCTCCCATTATTTCCTGAAGACTTATGTTAAGATGCCCTTTGAAGTTTCGTCCTTCAGTTTCTGTTCTGAGTGCTGAACTTGAACTGTGGCCTACCACCAACTTCTGTGAAGGCTTTCAACTTGATTGTGAATGTTCCATGTACTAGATAGTCTGAACCTACATCTGCTCCCCTTCTTGATCTTGTGTCCAATAGGCTGCGTCTCCACTTTCTTAACATTGAAATAAAGTTGATCTGATTTTCAGTGTAGTGTGTCCATCTGGTAAAATCCATGTCACTTTGTGAATATCCTTGTGTTTGTACACACTGCCTCCCTCCAATCACCAAATCGTTGAATGGGCAGAAGTCTGCAAACAGTTTTCCAATCTCATTCATTTCTCCGAGTGCTTCTCGACCCATGATTGGCTCTCTTCCTGCGTTGTTCGCTCTCAGTTTGACATTCATGTCACTCCACCCATTAGAATTTTGATGTCGCCAACTGGGGTGGAGTCTTGTCCAGTACTGATTGCAGTTGTCTGTAGAATTCCTCCTCCTTCTCTTGATCTGCATTATTTGTAGATGCATAGCGTAGCATTGTATGATTTGTGACTTTCCTTCCTTTTGAATTGAACCTTGCCGTCATGATCCTGATCCTTATCCCGATCGTGATCATGATCCAGAAGGAGGAGATTGGTTCCCACTGCATGAGAGCCTTCAATGTTCTTAGGGACATCATGATAGCCACTCCAAAACTCAGTGTGCTCGTGGTTGTCGTTTGGGTGAAAATATCGGAGTGAATTATTGACTCCTCTCAAGTTGACAGTTTGGAAAGTCCACTTCCATTCCATCTGCTGATTCCTAGCACGTCTATGCCATATCTTGTTACTTCTTTAAATCCGGTTGAACAGACACATGACTACTGGTTCCCGTCTATTATAGAAGTGGATAGAAACTATGGTGAATTAGATGCTGTCATGTCCATGTAGATTTTTTACAAATAAATTTTTCTGCTCTCCCCATTTGCTGACAAGTTGTGAGCTCGTCTAGAAACGGTTGACTGTAATATCATCCATCATTAGACTACAGTAACAGTTTGAACTTGTATTATAACGACTATCTTTTAGACCAATTATTCGTTGATACTGGGTGATTATTGAAGGTGAAATGAAAATTTAGCACACGGACTCGAACCGGCGACCACTGGGTTTCCGGCCCTATGTTCTACCAGTGGAGCTAGGAGACCTGAGTTTTATTTCACTTCAATCACTATAACTTTTACCTAACTACCATATGAAATCGTGACACGTTATTACCACTTGATCGTACTCACACTGGCTGCCCAGTCAGGACTTCTCATCTCAATCCAAATCTAACTGAATTAAAAATCTGATCACTAGTCGGGCATCGCAGCTCAGTTGGTAGAACACTGGGTCAGAAACTCGATGGTTCGAATCCCACTGCGGTACAAATTTCTACTTCACTCTCAATCGTCACTTAGTATCATTTATTCTTTGTTGTATTTCATATAAACACTCATGAAAAGGGAATGTTTGACTAAATTGTCGGAAATGTATTGCATTTTATACATAACACACACATACACATTCGAGATAAACTACGTCTTATTATTTTGTGGAAATTTATTAGCGTCAATAACTGTTCCAAGGTTTATTTTGGAGGGATTTTATTGATTTATTACAAATTGACATCGGTTGGTGAACTACTGAAAACCTCGTAGCAATTGACGGCTGTTTTGTCGTGCTATAGGACTCCTCAGGACTGCGCGCCAATGATCGAAACCAGCATCTTCCTTGACCAGCAGATCACTATTTAACTACTGGGTTGGTTCACATTTTCATACTTCTGCCGGCTAGCGATACAGTGTGACGTTCATCTAATGTCGTCGAACGTAGTTTTACTAACCGGTTACGTCTTCTAGTTAGAACTTCGGTAATTGCATCTTGAAACAAGTGCACTAATGAGCCCTGGACAGCACTGTTTCAACTACAGGCGGCACAGACGAGGACGTCAAAGCCAGGATCGGAATAGGAAGATAGGCGTTCATTAGCCTGAAACCAATGTGGAAATCTTCTGCACTCAGCATGTGGAACAAGATGCGGATTTTCAACACCAATGTCAGTCAAATCAGTGCTCCTATATGGTTGAGAAACTTGGCGCGTTACGAAAGGGGATTTCCAACAAACGACAGACACTCATCAACAACTGCCTACGCTCGCTACTGAAGCTCAGATGAGAAGGCGAGACAGAATAAGCAACAATGAACTGTGGGAACGAACCAACCAAGAACCTATCGCTCAACAGATATCCAGAAGGAAATGGAGGTGGATTGGGCATACACTGAGAAGGCCGACTGGGGTCGATCTTTGTCTGCTGATTTTCGCAGCTCAGTGAATTATCAGGTCTGAGGGAGAACAGTCGCTATTTGTATTCAGTTCAACTGTCTCATTACATTAGTAGCGTTCTCGTACTTGTTGATAATTTGATGTATAGCACTACCATAATATTCAATTCAAACTTGCAGTATATTCACCTATCAATACTTCTTCCTTTTTTTAGACTGATTTCACGTCTATGTTTTCAGCTGATGAAATTGTCTATTTATGCGCTGAGTCCGAATATCTCCTACCAGATCGATTCGATGAAAATTCATCATCAAATATATCCAATGATATTAATGTTAGCAATGGCAGTGTTCAGCCTAAATTCAGCCTTAATGATGTGTATGTTATTGGTGGTTTAATTGATCATAACAACTTTAAAGGATTCTGTTATCAACAGGCTATTGAACGTGGTTATAGAACAGCAAGATTACCATTGAAAGAAGTTGATCTACTTATTCAAGGTCGATATGTTTTATCTACTGTTCATGTATTTCAAGCTTTATGTCCAGTATTATCAGGTACAAAAACTTGGATGGAAAGTTTAAAATTAGCTATACCACCTAGAAAATTGATAAGTGTTTAAATGAGGATATTTCTTATGAATATATATATATATATATATATATATATATATATATATATATATATATATCCATATGCTTACAATTTGTAAATAAACTATCAGTAATTGGATATTGTTTTTAGATTGAAATATACTATTGATAATAACATGAGTAGTTAAAAATCGAATATGCTGGTTTGTTGATTTCACTATTCATATGAAAATGATTGATTCGATCATTTGGGGGTTAAGCTCACTGGTGCTTTATCAATAATTTGTTAAGTGTCAACTGTTTTCGATTGAAATCACACTTCATTTGTAGAAGGAAAATCAACAGATGCACAAGTATTTCGTCGTACTCTTGAATGCTTCCTAGCACTAAGTATTGTTTTCAAGGAACTGTTCACCAATTACTTACATAGTTTTATCTCTTTATAAGCGATGAAGCAGTTACACAGTACGCTATATGTTAGTAATTTTTCTCTAGATACCAGGGTCTTTTGAACATGTCTTAGTAAAAACCGGTGGATGTTTGATATGCTTATTGCATCTGTCAAATGTAAGATGATGCTACATGACTAGTCTAATACCACTTCAAATTATGGGGAACGAAGCGGTGGAAGTCTGCTATATAACCAGGAACTTTAGCCACGCAAAGGGTCTTCTAGTATGTGGAAATTTTTAAAGACGTCACTAGTAGTAAACACTTTAGTAATGAAGCATGTGTTGATGTCTATGGTTTAAACGCCAATCCAACTGTTCCATCCCAATATGTCCGTCTATTTCCAATGATGAATGTTGTCTAAAATTTACCGAGGAAAGTGTTTTCAACAGCGAAAATCTTCAAACCTTTCACATCGTTTGGTTCTAGCGCGACTTATCAATTTTCAAATTCACGAGACGTGCTGATATATTATGTCATCCACTAATTAACATATTGAATAAACTGTTTTCAGAAAACGCCTTACCAGCTGCCTAGAAAGATATTCAGATAGTCCCAGTACGTAAGTCGATGATTTCAGGTGCGTGTTTGAAATCCTATCCAATTGCGGTTACTTTTCCTTTCGTGAAAATGGTGAAGTTTAAAATACCTTTGCTAAAAACCCTCAATGAAGGTCTTTGGAGATCCTAATCAATTTGCAGATAAAAGCGAAAGAATCAGTCAGCATGCCACCACGGTTTTCATGTCATAACACTGTTTATCATCTTGATAAAGGTGCTATCAAGTGAGCCCTTTTAGACCATTCTTCAGTACTTGGTTTTGTCCCAGAACCTCTGTGGGCTTGACAAGCTAGCAAGGACATGGATAATCAGCTGGCCGCAGTCCTATCTCTGTTCAGAGATGGGAGCGCTCTACCTCACTGCTTATTGATGCTCACCAAGGTGCGGTACTTTTCTCTCCAGCTAGTACCAATTTGCCAAATATGCTGACATCCTGACAGTTCCAATACTTATCTCCTTTACAACGGGTTGTTCTCAACTCAAACACTATCTTACCTACTATTGAACGATGGTCCTCCATGGATGGTTTTGTGTCTATTCTTCAAACGAACTTTTGTTTCAGACGTAAACGTAACTTAAGTGTGATGCTTCCTGTCCTACTTATAGTTGCGTATTAGAGAATGTTACAAGCGTGATTTTCTTTTGGACTGTGTTCTTCTTTAGATCGTCCATGGTCTTCCCATATGTTACTAATTTCTTCCTAATTTATTACATTGGGAAGCTGACAGCATGTTGTACAACTCAGCCTCTTCTCTTGTGTTTGATGAACTCCTGCATCTTTCTTATTCTCCTTTATTCCTTCTTGGATTGCTGAAAAAAAGATTGTGACATGTTGCATCCTGAGAGGTTATCAGTGTTCCATCCCTTTCAATGGTGGTTCCACTAACCATTGTTTCCTCGCCGGTATCCCTAATTAGCCTAAATAGTTGGTGAGTATTACCCAAAGCTGATGCCTTGTCCATCTCTGTCGGTTTCGTTACGAACCACAGCTCGCAATCCACGCGAAGACTCTTGGTCAACTCAAGTTCAAGTTGCTTTCGCTCTCTCCTAAAACCTTGAGATATAGCCTACCAACAGCAGACTTAATATAATGCCAGGTTTCCGTAGGATGAGTATTGCTGTCAAGTTTAGATGAATGCTAACCTATCTTCTCCCTAAATACGTACTCGACTTCCTCATCCTCCGATGGAGTATAGACAAGACTTACTATCGCCTGCTTCCTGCGACCGGTAAGGAACAGACATACATGAGTCCATACTAACGCATGATTGGAATCCAAACTCATACTCCAGAAAGAGTGGTAAGCACATCCATCTGACAAATGAGTCCCAAATAAGATGAAACAAGCATTCTGAATCCCACTGCTAACCACCACCATTAAGGACATTAAAACCGTTTATCCGACCTGTTCCAGTCCTGACCTAAATCTGTGTGTGCTACGCATTACATGAAGTCAATTCTCAGTTACCTAGTTTATTTATTATATACTTAAGGAAATAAGAATACACTACATTTAGGTTGGTTAGAGAACGATCAAATAGTATATATATATATATATATATATATATATATATATATATATATATATATATATATATATATATATATATATATATATATATATATATACCGAAAACTCAGTCATGTTTGGTTTCTAATCAAGAACAAGATCTTTCTCCCTCTCGTCACCAGGTTACACAGACGTTGACCTAATCACAGGAGAATTCTCGTTAGACCTAGAATATGCAGATGACATTGTCCTGTTAAGTGAAGACGCTGACAAGATTCTGAGTGTTCTGAACACTTTGAGTGGTAGCTTGAGAATGTTTGGGATGCGTTTCTCACCACCCAAATACAAATTGTTGCTCCACGATTGGTCTTCAGCGGTGCCACTCCCCACTTACCTGGGGAGTGGGATCAGCCCTATCCTGCCATAGTGGCTCAGTGACCGATGAAATCTCTGCACAAATGCAAAAAGCTTGGCTGGCTTTTGCCAATTTACGTTATCTACGGCGCCGCAGTGATATCCGATTGTCTGTTAAGGGTCGCGTGTACCGCACAGCAGTCCGGTCTGTTCTACTATATGGCTGTGAAGCATGGCCATTGAAAGTGGAAGGTATAAGAAGGCTTCAAGTGTTTGAACACCGTTGTCTTTGTAGTATAAGGCTGTATTCCGTGGTGTCACCACGTGAGTAATGCAGAAGTCAGGGAGTAGCGGTAAATCAGTTGACGAGGTTATGAACCTTCATCGATTGATATGGCACCAATGCATGAAGTCTCTGACTATTGGTTTGACCTACGTGGGGCTATGCAGACTAGTCGGTTGGGGTCCGCAGGACAAGAGGAACCAGTGGCTAGACACTCTAAGTGATATGGCTAAGACCCGATGTCAGTGGCGCAGATGTATACCCACACATTATCCTCATCTTAACGACATTATACCGAATCTCACCATTTCCTCATTCTTCCCTTCTTTCTTCTCATACTTGATATTTCTTTTGACTGCATTCTCTTATCTTCATCTTGCCTCTCACTACCTTTCTACTTGATGTATTGTACTGAGGCGTAGCAATTCGGAGCGTTATGCAGTAATGTCTGGTCCTATGTTGATATTGATGATGATCCTCCCACCAAATCAATCAACAGCACAATTTATACATCTTTAAAAAGATGCAAAATCTAAACAGCCATTAACCTGATTAACTGAGATTGCTGTAAATAACTATAAATTTATAGAAACGCTTATTAACAAAACTGTGATCTAATTTATTGATTTACATTGAAACATACATTTAGGAATAGAATAGAGAGAAATGCAAAACAGGTATATAATAGATGATATCTGATAAATATGTAAACTACACAAATCTTATAAAAATCAAAGATATATATATATATACACATACACACATACATTATCATCGATGCAGTTAGTGCTCCATGGTACAATTTCAATCAAGCTGATGCTTCTCTCTCCTGTTGAATCATTGGTGATTTTCAGTACTGCACAACAGACGCTGGATTATTATTACTATTATTGTTATCAGTAGTAGTAGGAGTAGTAGTATCATCATTATTATTTGAAATCTGTAATGGAATATTAAAAATATTAGTTATCAAAGTAAATAAAAAAGTCAATTAGACAGTCAGTTATATTACTAAAGTAATCATTATTGCTAATGAGCGACATTTATTGGTTAATACATCTACTTGTAGAACAGATAGACAAGATCAATGCTTGAAAACGACTACAGTGGTGTTATAGATGACTTATCTTTCTCTGACGTATGGAGATAACTACCAACCATTGAGTCATGGGTTCGAACCCCCCCCCACCTACCGAGGTGGTTTGAATAACCAAGTAGTATCACTAGCCTTCCTCATACACTACGTGTGACTGATTGCATATTGCATGAATGAATATGCACAAGGTTGATGAGTACGTTACACACATCTGCATACATCTTCCTGATGTGATGATAATATAAAGCAATGATATACAGCAAGTAAAAATCATGTTCAACGTTAATAATGTCTCCGTCATAGTAAGTCTGGTAACTATAGGCGGATTTTTAAAAAAAACCACGCCACATTCACATCTAGAATATAAATAAACCTGGGGCTCGAACTCATAACTAGGTAGGGTTACAAACAGAGATAGCTACTGACTGGTCACTGAAGTACAACCAATTTCAAGTTGTTTAGTTCTAAGTGCTGACCCAATTCTACCCATTATTTTGCAATATGACCGTCATATCCGATTGTCTATTAAGGGTCGCGTGTACTGCACAGCAGTCCACTATTGACAAGTGTCTGCCGCTGAGAGAATGGATATACTAAGTTTTTTTTATTATGTTGTATGGAAGAAACAGATCAAGGAAAATAAGCACCAAACTGTTGATTTTTTCTTCCGTTTACATTCAAAGGAGAGTAGACACAGAAATCAAAGCAGCACTGAGAAGAAACTTTCTCTTCCAGCTAAACTTGTATCAACATACGATAGCGCATGCTCACTGAGCCAGTCCAAATCAGACTAATACCCTGCTCATGTCACCTCCAACTGAAGCTATGAATTTATAAGAACTGAGTGGACCGGCAACCATGCCGTTCGGCATGCTTCAAAAGAAAGTAAGATTCTGACCAGGCCAATTGCCAGACACCTCGATAACACAGGATATCTGGCTTAAATCTCAAGTGCCTGTAAAATAATAAACGTATGAGAAATCCCAGAACTGCTAGGCTTCACGGAAGTGATTACTGTAAAACGCTTTTAACCTGACCATTGCAAACAGGAGAGTATGGCTAGTCTCTCATATTCCCTTGGTGACTATGATTTGAAACGAAATGCACCTGACAACTTTGTACACATCCATAAAATAGGCAATGAGTCACACCTATTGTGTGAGAAGGGCTAGTGATACTACCTGGCAGGTGGGAGAGACCACCTCGGTAGGTGGGGCGGGGTTCGAACTCGAGACCCAAAGGTTGACAATCATCTCCCTAAACTACTCAGCCACATCCCCACCTCGTTTCATCTGAATTATACAATCTTTTATTCTGCACACCTAATGTTAGGTTGTATAGACCCTTCCTTTCTTACATCCCTCTGTACAATCAGTAATTCTCTTACATGTTATATAGATTATACGACTAAAGATTATTGGTTCCCTGGTTAAGAAATATCTTATATTCTGTATACAGCTGAGGAGCATTCATAGAATAAAATGACTTCGCACTTTATTCTGCAAATCTAATCCGTCTTCCTTTGCCCACATTCACTAAGGTCTCCGAATGCGTGGAATTCTTGAATCAACATGGCCGTTAAGGATTTTCCTCCAGGTTTTTCTTCTTCAATGCAACTAAGAAGGTTATCCAATTCAAAAAAAGGAAGACAAATCAGTGGTGAGAATCACAGACATATTGAATGGAAATGTCAACCATCAAGGTGTTTATCAATGAGACGACAATCTGAGATGGCTGTGATTCGATAGACTGATTTTATCGATAGTCAGTAATGATTGAAAGCGAAATCAAAATATGGATCGCCATAGGACTCGAACTAATGTCCTTCCGGTTAAGCAATTTCTACTAGCTAAGCTATGACATCCAACAATAGATCACGTCTTAAATTCGTTAAAGTCACGAAAGGTCCTCTGCAAGTGATAAACGCCTCACGATGGTCAGACTAAGACATGGGACCAGTCAACCAAGTCCCTGACTATTGGTCTTAGTCATCTGGGGAGATGTAGAAGAGGAGAAAGGAATCAGTGGTTAAGGACTCTTGGTCACTCGGTTAAAAATCGGTCGCAATGACGCAGATGTATTAACTGTTTGACATCTCTTAAAGCTTCAGTATTTGTATCAAAAGTTATCTTTGAGTTGTTTATTCTCACACTGCTTAGTCAACTTTCATACCTGTCTTTTTCGATCCACTTGTTCTTTTCAGATTACTGAGAAGTATGTCAACTTAAGCCGATACACCTGTGTGCGACATTCTACATTGATTTTGTGGCGAAAACCATGACAAAGTAAGAAGCAACCTTAGCGCGATCAGTAGAAATCTCTGTATCTTTTGCGCGCACTTTCAACTATGTTACTGAGAACCAAAAAGTGGAAATCTCATCAAAGCATCCTCATGTGGGTCAGAAATCAGCCTCGTTTCTCTTGAGTTTGCCAGCCCCAGTTAGGCATCGCATGGCTACGCACCTTCATCACTTTAATTACCGATTTCTTACCTCCACCCTTGAAAACCTCTGGTGGAAAACTGTCAGGTCCTACTCCTTTGCATTGCTTCAGATTCAAAACAGCCTTCTCAACTTCAAGGAGAGTTGAAGGGCCAACATCCTTGTCACATTCAGGTTCAGGATGGATGTTAGACAACTGAAGCGTTGCTAAAGCATAGTTGAACTGTACCTCAAAGTGTTCTGTTGAACATTTTAGCCGTTTGTTCTGCGAGGTTATCAGCGACCCATTCTTTTCGGTGATGGTTTCACTAAACATCCTCTTCTTCTTGCCAGAGTCTTTAATATCCGCAATTGGTTTCCGACTGTTACCCAACGTTGGTGGCTTCTCCATCTCTCTCGCACTCCATCCATAACTGCTCACGATCATTACAAAGGCTCTTATTCACCTTACGCTTAAGTTCTTTTCACACTTGCCTGTGGCCACAGTCCGCTGGAATGCGTTCCCCACATCAGTGACTTCTCATCATGTCGTGGAAATCAAATGATGTTCTCTAACCTTCGAGCGTAGGTTACCAAATGTCTTTACCGCTATTTCTACAGCAGACTTAGTACCACAACAGGTTTCCTCAGGGTGAGCATTGCTATCACCCTCAGATAAATGCTAAGTTAACTCTTCTCTAAATGCATAATTGCCGTACTCATTTTCCAAACGACCACAGATAGGTCTCACTCCCTCTGATTTCCGTGATCCGATTTCAAACTAGCACTCTAGAAACGACGGAAATCCTCCACCGACCCTCTCCAACGACGGCCTACACCAATGTCATCTATCTGTGTCCATCGTTGGTTTGAAGTCAGTGGACGCCACGTGAGACGTGTGTCCCCTCATACTTAAACTTAGCGCTGGCCAGAAACAAGTGGTTGACGGAGCGAAATTGCAAAAGACGATCATAGTTGTCAATTTGTTAGCATGCAATTCTGTAGTTACCTCCAAGATGCCTTTCTGACTCGTTCACCTTCCTTAATTGAGCGTTAAAGTTATCTGTCATTATGACTGCATTTAAACCTTTTGCTTTCTGTAGCAAAGTTGACAGCTTCTTACAGAATGCATCCTTTGCATCATCCGAATTGTAGCCACTCAGTGCACATATGTAGCGATTACGAATAGGCAACGACGAGTGTCACAACTCTTTTCACTTCTTACATATCCATTTATACAGCACACAGACGGCTGTTTACTGGTAGGTAGTCGGGAAGCACATTTTCTGCCCTACAACTCAATCCTATGCCTACAGCAGCGAGTCCACGGGAACTAGTTACTGGATGTCCAAATACACGAGGTGAATTTTGAAGATTCACCACTATGGTCATGTGAGTTCAATTTAATAACCAGGCTCGAATCCTGTGTTTGTATCTCAAAGGATATGAACAACGAGAATTACACATGTTGGGTTGCAGAACAAAACGAAGAACAGATGATAGTTTGGATACTACCGTACTCAGAAAATCGACACATTCCAACAGGTAGGTAGGTATCCACACTTCAAGTCATCTCATCCAATGTTGTCAGTCAGTTAAGGCAGGTTTAGTCAAATGTCTAGTTGGTAAATCTACAGAAATGACTAGTCAGTACAAGCACCTAAACAATGAACCGAAGCGGATAAAAGAAATGCTAATGGTCAATAATTATCCTCTACCGTTTATTCAGAAATTCGGTCGAACACACAAGAAACGAAAAGATAACAGTCACACCAGTACGAATAATGACGACAACACAAGTAGAAAGGAGTTCACAGCCTCCCCTGTCTTACCCTATAAGGAAGGTGGTATATCAGAGACTTTAAGTAGGTTCCTGGACAAAGCTGGAATCAAGGTGGTAGTGGCATTTAAACCTACCAACTGACTCAGAGATAAGCTTTGTTGACTGGCTTAAGGATCTGATATAAGCAATTCAGCAAAATAATCTAATCTATTAAACTCCATGTAATGACTGTGAGGAGTCAGGTGAAGTGCATAGGTCAAACTAGACATTTGGTGGTCAGTTAGAATAGCCGAACATAGGAATTTAGCCAAATATAGATTGAGAGACGTGAATAAGATGAGTAATAATCTAGAAAGTAATTCGGCTATTCCGATTGATGCATTAACACACATTAGGATGGGTAGGATAATGCCACTGTATTTAGGTCCAATAATAGAATTAGGTGGAGAATGAGAGAGATCGATTACTGAATAGTTGCTCATTGAATCAACACGGAATACATGTAATAGAAATGATGACGCAAAACCTATACGAGAGATATAGAAAATTCTACTACCAATAAAGACAAGACTGTAAAAATCAGATGTTGAAAGTAATGTGATTGCATTGTTATGATTATGAGCGATAATTTATGAGGTAGTACTCATCACAGACTGATATCATCTGGGCGAACCATTGAAGACGTAGCAGTTTTGTCCTGATATGAGACGCCTCAGCAGTATGTACGCACGACTTTGTGAGGGATCGATCTCAGGGCCTTAAGATTTCACGGCAAACGCGTTAACCATTCATCGGTTCACGGTTTCCAACTTCCGTCAATTCGTCTCATAGCCCCACTATCAATCAAGGTCTTCAGATGGTACCCGGTTCTCCTCCGACAGCTTGACCTCAGTCATCAAGTATATAATATTGTATCAAATAAACAAATCTGATATGGAAGTTAAAACCTGATTACCAATGATCATATTTGTAGCTAAGATAGTCCATATTCAGAAACTGGTGCCTAAACTTCTCCTTCAGACTAGATCTTCATTTCACTCTCAATCATCATCTGTTATCAATAGAACAACATCATGCATATTATGCAGAACCAGAAGTTTATGATGAGTAATTTCAATAACAGAATGCCGCCAGACGCACTGAGAGCAGACGCAGAGACAACAGCGGACATGCTCACATCACTATTGCAGAAGGTCTGGAAGGAAGTAAAGGTACCTGCTGACTGTAAGTGAAAAACTTGGGCACTGTGGTAGAATGTAGTTCCATATTAGATTTGTTTATTTGATATAAAGCGCACAGTGATACTGTATCACTGTGCGCTTTATATCAAATAAACAAATCTAATATGGAAGTACCTGCTGACTGGTTGGAAGAAGGGCTACCTTGTCAGACTCTCGAAGAAGAGGGACCTAAGTCTTTGCAAGAACTGGCGCGGAATCACGCTCCTGTCCACCACAAGCAAAACATTAAGCCGCATCATCTTGGACAGACTAAAGGATACACTGGATTAAAAACTACGACCGGAACAGGCTGGCTGACTTCAGGAAGTACAAATCATGTGCGGACCAAATTGCGACGCTTCGCATCATCATAGAACAAAGTATAGAATGGCAGTCAACTCAACTCTTTAGCTAAACTTCGTCGACTTTGAGAAGGCTTTCGACAGCGTCAACCGACAAGTAATTTGGAAACTGCTTCAATACTACGGAATACTACAAACCTTTATCAACCTCATTCAACAATTATATGAAGACGCCACATGACAAGTAACTCACAATGAGAAGCTCAGTGATGCTTTTGAAGTGAAGTGAAGACAGGAGTAATACAAGGCTACCTACTATCACCCATGATATTCCTGATTGTGGTCGACTGGATCATGCAACAAACACTGAGGAGCTGTGACAAGAGGGGGATACGCCAGCTGGACCACGGAAAACATCCTAGAACATTTGGATTTCGCCGATGATGACGTGTGTCTAATGTCACACAAACTTGAAGATCTAAGGGCGAAAACTAACAAGTTGTCAGAAGAGGCAGGTCAGCGAAGATGGGACTTCAAGTGAACATAGAGAAGATAGAGGTGATGAAGATACCCTATCAACGCCACCACCAACAACAACAACAAGCTTCAATCACCATCAACGGGAGAAACTTAAAGGAAGTAGCCTCCTTCACATATCTAGGAAGCACTCTTTCAACTACAGGCGGCACACGCACAGACAACGACGTCAAAGCCAGCCACGATCGGAACAGCATGCAAGACAGGCGTTCATCAACCTGAAAACAGTGTGGAGATCTTCTACACTCAGCATGTGCAACAAGATCTGGATTTTCAACACCAACGTCAATCAAGTCAGTGCTTCTGTATGGCTCAGAGACTTGGCGCGTCACCAAAAGCATTTCCAACAAACTATAGACATTCACCAATAACTGCTCACGGTCGCTACTGAAGATCAGATGACCAGAAGGAATAAGCAACAAGGAACTGTGGGAAGGAACCAACCAAGAACCCATCGCTGAATAAATATGCACTGGAAGGAAGTGGAGATGGATTGGATTGGGCATACACTGAGAAGGCCGACTGGGGACATCACGCTTCAGGCTAGGCCAGACCGTCGAGTGGAACCCCGATGGGAAGTGACGAGTTGGGCGTCTGAAGTGAGGGTGACATGGAGGAGATTGTGTTAGGAGGAAATGAGAGCTTCTGGGCAGTCGTGGAGCCAGGTTCAAAAGACTTCAGAGAACAGAGTGTAATGGAGACGTGCTACTGAATCCCTATGTTCCATTAGGAACCCAAGGGACAAATAATAACAATAATAATTTCAATATCATTATTCAAACTAAACATTGAACACACATGAAATAAAGATGAGAAATAGAAAAGCTTACCGATAACAATTTAGCTGTACTGCCAACAATATCTTTGATCATTCCTAATTCCGTCTGCATATCATCATCATCATCATCATCATCATGATCACCATTAACAAGAATAGTTTCTTCAACACATGAATCTAAGACAATAGTTTCATGATTTTCAGTGTTATCTGTTTGCAATATTCTTTGTGTTCCTGGAATTGTAGTTTGACTAGTATGTTGTTGTGATGAAGCTGGAGGCAGTGACACCGGTTGGGATTGTGGTAGTAAAGAAGGTAAATCACCTTTATAACCTTGTTCAGTAGCTACACGTATTACTAAACTGTGTAAATGATTCATTAATGATGAAGGATCTAATGTTATTGTCTTTGTTATATTGTATGTCTTATAAATACCAACTAGACGATCAGATAATTCAAACATATTATTTCTTAATGAGATAACAATGAATTGAGCATTTTTTGTACGTTCCTTTAAATAATTACCAATAATTGATACATTTTTAAAATCTAATGCTGCATCAATCTCATCCATTACATATAATGGAGTTGGTTTATAATGATGTAATGCAAAGACTAAAGCTAAACTAGATAAAGTTTTTTCACCACCTGATAAATTTGCAATACTTTTCCATGATTTTTTTGGGGGACGTACACTGAATACAATACCTTCAGAGAATGGATCAAGTGAATCAATCAATTCTAATTCTGCATCACCACCTAATTTTTTGATTGGTTAATAAATAAATAAAAATTAGTATAATAATTTATATATTACTATTACTACTAATAATTAATGATGATCACGATGATAAATGGTCATTTTCCCATTTAAAAACTATAAAACTGATTTCATTATAAAGTTGAAAATTAGGCTTATATGTAAGTTGGAAAACCAGTAAGAAGTGAAGAGATATTTCATCAACATTTCACTCTCTTCTCTACACAATTGCCCATAAGCTTTCATTTCATCATAACACCATCTCATTCAGGTTACCTTCAGCTGGGACGACCAACTCGTCGTTTCTTATCCAGGTTCTACTCGACAATCTGGCCTAGCTTGACCCATGATATCCTCAAACGGTCTTCTTAGTGTACACCCAATCCAATACATCTCCAATTTCTTCTGCTGCATCTTTCTTGAGCGATAGGTCCTTGGTTAGTTCATTGTCAGGCCTGCCCATGTGATTTGATCTCCAGTATGGAGTGAGTGTACGCGACAACTGTTGATGTATGTCTGTAGTTTGTTGGAAATGGTTTTCGTAACGCGCTAAGTCTCTCAAACATCATATAGAAGCAGTAACTTTAGTCGATTGAATTAGTGTTGAAAATCTGGATGTTGTTCACGCTTTATGCTGAGTGCAGTGGAGTTCAGTAGATCTGCATACTGATTTCAGATGAATGCAGGAAGCCCTATCTTGCTGTCTTTCTGATCCTGGTTGGCTTTGACATCCTCATCTGTGCCTGTGCCGCCTGTAGTTGAGACGATGCTGCCTAGGTGTGTAGGTAGGTGAAAGAGACAACTCCCTTTACATTTCTACCATCCATGGTGATTGGTGCTTGTTGTTGTTGTTGTTGTTGGTTGGGTATCTTCTTCTCTACATTCAACTGAAGGAAGTGCCGTTAATTCTTTTTATAAAAAGAGGGATATCACTCTTTTCTACTTAAAAACTATAAAACCAGCTTCATTATCAATGTTTATTAAGTTGGAGATTGGGCTGATACGTTAGTTGGAAAACCAATAAGCAGTGAAAAGATGTTTAGTCCTGGTGTATAAAATCCATGATGAATACCATCTACAAATATAAGCCCTATAAACGTCAAACGAAAATTGAATATGTCTGTCAACTCCTTTCTTACTTGTTCACGTTGATCTTATGGGATGCCCCCTTTGTTTTCCTTTCTTATATCGTCAGCCTTATTATTATTACTATTATGTATTAATTGTCTTTTGGGTTCCTAGTGGAACATCGCCATTTCACTCTATCCTCCGCATTCTATTAAATCTGGCTTCACGACTGCCATAAACTTTCATTTCTTCCTCACACCATCTCCTCCATGTCACTCTCACATGCGCACTCCACTCGAGGATCTGGCCTGGAGCATGATATCCCAAACGGTCTTCTCCGTGCATGTTCAATCCAATCCATCTCCACTTTCTCCTTCTGCATATCTGTTGGCTGATAGGTTCTTCGTTGGTTCGTTGCCAGCCAGAATTCTTTGTTGCTTTATTCTTATTACTCTGGCCATCTGATCATCAGCATCGAGTGTAGGCGGCAGCTGTTCATGTATGTCTGTAGTTTGTTGGAAATGCTTTTAGTAACGCGCCAACTCTCTCAACCATCACATAGAAGCACTGACTTACTGAACTGAATTAGTGTTCAAAATCCGGATGTTGTTCACGCTTTATGCTGAGTGCAGCGCAGTAAATCTCCACACTGATTTCGGATTGATGAAGGATGGCCTGTTTTGCTGTCTTTCCGATACTGGCTGGCTTTGACATCCTCATTTGTGTCACCTGCAGTTGAGACGGGGCCTCCCAGGTAAGTTGGTAAAAACGACAGCTTCCTTTACACTTCTTCCGTTCATCGTAATTGGTGATTGTTGTTGTTGGTTGAGTATCTTCATCACATCTGTCTTTTTCTCGACGTTCACCTGAAGAAAGTACCGTCTTCGCTGTCCTGCCTCGCTTCTTCTATCAACTTGTTAGTTTTCGCCTATAGATCTTCGGATTTGTGCCACATAAAACATTAGACATAAATCATCATGGGCGAAATCCAAATCTCCCTCTAAGGTCCTTACATCGGTCAAACAGCGTATGCCCATCTTTTTGCTCCTCACAGTTTCTTGCATGATCCAGTCTAGTTGACCACAATGAGGAAGATGATCGGTGATAGTAGGCGGCAGCCTTATCTTCCTCCAGTCTTCACTTTGAAGGCATCACTGAGCTTTCCATTGTGAATCACTTGATATAGAGCATCATCATCATATAGCTGTTGACTGAGGCTGATAAAGGTTTGAGGAACTCAAAGCGTAGTGTTGAAGCAGCTGTCAAATTACTTCTCGCTCGACGACTCGATCAAAGGCCTCTTCAAAGTCGATGAAGTTTAGGTAAAGAGTTGACTGCCATTGTCTGCTTTCTTCTATGATGATGCATAGCGTAGCGTTGCAGTTTGGTCCGTAGAAGATTCGTTTTTCCTGAAGCCAGTCAGTCAGCCTGTTCGGGTGGTAATTTTGAGTGCAGAGCATTTTTTAAGTCTCTCCAAGATAATGCGGCTTAATATTTTGCCTGGGGTTGATATGAGCATGATTCGGCGCCAGTTCTTGTTAAGACTTTAGTCTCCCTTCTTTGCAAGTTTGACAAAGTAGCCATTCTTCCAACCAGTCGGCAGGTACCTTTCCTCCCTTCCTTCTAAACCTTCTGTAGTAGTGGTGTGAGCATGTCCGCTGTTGTCTCTGCGTCTGTTTTCAGTGCTTCTGGTGGAATTCGATCTGGTTCTGCTGCTTTCCCGGATTTCAGCAACTTTATTGAGTTCAAGACATCACTTAGGCTTTTGTCGGAGCGTTTGTGTTTACTGACAGTAGCGTGACTGTGCTGTTGGTGGTATTTCTGGACGAGTTGCTGGTGGTGGTCGATTCAAGAGTTTTTTTGAAGTGGTCAGCCTATCGTTTCCATTGTTTATCTTTTCTAGTGGTGACTCCATTTCACAGCCATACACAGTAGAACAGAGAGGGTCACAGCGTAGTACACTCCATGTCGGTACCACAGATGGCGAGCTGTTTGTATCCGTGCAAACATTTCGTCGGTCACTGACCAACGCACCGAAGATGAACCCACCTCTCAGGTAAGTGAATTGTTCAACCCACTGAACCACATAACTCCCTATAGTTAGTCGGGGTACCGTCGAAGACCAGTACTAGGGCGAAATCTGCATGTGGGTGGCAAGAAACTCATTCCAAACATTCTCAAATTGCCATTCAAGGTGTCCAGAAGACTTTGCATCTCGTCAGCGTCTTCACCTAACGGGATCACATCATCTGCTTATTCTACGTCTACCAAAAATTCTCTCAGCGTATTGATTAATCTCAAGATTTCTTACAGATATTATAAACAAGAGAAACGCTGACCGATAAGTTGTCGGGTTATAAGGCCATCGTGATAGTAGGACAGTGTTCCGTTGACTTCATTTATCCTAACAGTTGAACTAACCACTGCCAATATGCATAATAATAAGCATGCAAACAGGAAACGAGATACACATCTTGTCTGATTGATGACTAATGACACTATCTGACTGTTGAGATATCGGAGGCTACAGCCGTATTCTAGCCTATCAACGCTTACATAACCATTTCATATGCTCTCTCTCTCTCTCACACACACACACACACACGCACACACACTATATACTGCTTGCTATCTCCTACAACTAATTAAGTAGACTGACAGACTAAGGAAAACACAGGACACTGACCTATAATCGTGTGCAAGTCATGTCGAATTCTCTGTAACACGAAGTCGTACGTCCATTGACAATTCAGTCCCACCGTGCTCACTCCAGCCATGTCAACTGGCAGCAAATAGTAATGATCAGACAGATGACAATAGGTCGCGTGAGTATGAAGATAGTGTTGTGTTGTTGGGGTGTGATTGACTGTGTTGTAGTGTGACTGGCTATATGGTCGTCTGTATTGTGTGTTTGACAACAGTGAGACATCTGCTTTCGGCAGACAGGTAGATAGGTGATGATAGAGTTGATGAATATGTTCCCAATGGGATCAATGATGTAAGTTAATATTGTTTATTCTAAGTGAAATATAAGACCGTGAGGTCTCCTCATCGATAAAAGCTGTATGACACAGCGCATCCGTACTCGACTAGATACCAATGAACCACAGACCCCTCAGTTCAAGAGTACAATATGCAGTCTCAACAATGACCAATATCTTTAAGTTATAAAGCTGAACTAATCAAAATAATCGAAGCAGACGTATTTTTTCGACATTAAAATAGCCATTAACCCAAACTACTTAAGTAACAGTAACATATAGCAAACAAAACAATGTCGATTCACCATATCTATTCTGTAATATATTATGAACTCAGCCTCTCAAAACGCCTAGATAATGTTTCTAATTCCAACTATCCATATGGTATAACCAATCTCCTTGTGTTATTTTAATAACTGCCAACTCAGTTGATATTAGGCTATGTTAACTGCTTTCTTGCTTGTTCGCGTTTACCCGATAGCATGTCGCCTTCGCATTCTCTTTTTCTACCTTCAGTTTTGTACTACTTAGTATTTTTGAGTAGTAAAACTCATGCTTCCTTATAATGTTGCTTCATCTACGTTCGTGACTGTTCACTTTGTCTCATTGTATCTTGTCCATCCATTTAACAACCATAGATATCTTTCAAACTTCATGATGGTCTTGTAATTTCTTTCTCTAATCCCTGATGTTGTTCATTACCTACATTATTTGTTTATCTTGCGTCTTTACCCCATTGTGAAGACTTACGAGCATCTTTCATATTCCATTCTGGTTGCTTGGATACGGGCTTTACTGTTTTACAGTTGACAAACCCTTTGGAAAGTGCTTTTCAATAGTGATAAACTCACAGATACTTCAACACTCGATATTTGTATTCTGTCAATCAATATTGCTTTGAGCTCTACATGTAACTCAAATGTATGGTTCATTGTTGAGAAATTGTTTATTCACTTTGTTTCCGATTGTCTTCGAAAGAAATTCACAATGTCTGAATATTACTAGTCAATAGCTTTCAATTGTTTATTAGATGTCCCTTACAGGACTTTGTTATCTGTGTATTCTAGATCTACTGTGATGTTGGATGATGAAAGAGAGACGTCTTTAAGAACATTTATGAAAAAATTGAATAGGCACCTCTGACACTGTTGACCTGACATCTGACTATATACTCTAATATGCCCATAAGCATTCGTTCGAGTAAACAGCATATAACAGAGTGACGTACTTACTCGGTACTCCCGATTCAGTGAGAGATATTTCCATAAAACATCTCGATCGACAGAGTCGAAGATCGCCTTCAACTCGACAAAATAATACAATAATTATACGATGATTAAAAAAAGTGGGTTATATAAAAATTATGAAACCTATGCAAATCTGTGCACCAATCACTCCATGTCAACACTTAAGGTAGTAACAGATTATACGAGTAAGCTAAGCCACACGTTTACCATTCAACTCCTAAACATAAAACAAAAAAAGAGGATATAAACAGACACACACACCTTGTGTAATCATTTGATACATTTCTTTCAACTTGTTTGTAATCGCATGAAAACCGTTTAAAAATTCACTCAATCTTTTCGATTTAGCATCATCTAGATGTTGACGTTGTTCACCCATTATACTGGTGATATGATTCAATTCACTGACACGTGTTAAATAATTCTGAGCTTTTCGACGATACTCTTCAATAGCTGCCATATTGGGAGACATACTAGAGATACGCTCTTCTAGACGTTGCATTTCATGTTTATCGACAGAAAGTTCTAAAATAGGATATAATTAATTTATTAATCAGTACATAATTTATAAAGTAGAAAGAGAAGTAGCGTAGTTATACAGATTTATCGATGGAAAAAAAAACTCTTAAAATGCTCTCCTTTGACAAATAGAGCAAGAACAACAGCTTATAGCACCCTGAAACAATTTGAACATCATTCTGGAGGTTTAAGGAGATTGATTAATTGATTTCAGGTTGGAATTCATCATGGACTGACATTAGTTGGAGGGAAATTGGAAGCTTGTGAGCACTAGACAGCTGTTTCATTCTAGTATGGGACTCCTCAGCGGTAGGAGGTCGTGCTATTTTTTTTAAACTGATAGGAGTGGGAAATGTGAACCATTGGATTGCAACCCAATGGCTAAGTGGTAATGTGCTGGTCATGAGAACTGAAACCCCGTGATTTGATCCCTCGGAAGGTCATGGGTACTCACTGCTGAGGATGAAACAGTTGTCCAATGCTGAGGAATGTAATAAGCTTGTTAATATATATATATATATATATATATATATATATATATATATATATATATATATATATATATATATATAGGAGAATTAAACGAATATTCTAGAGTGGAAGATGGGTAGGTGGGGGGGGGGGGCAGAGACAATAGTATTTCACTATATTGAGAAAGGTCACATAAAATGTGGGAAAAAAAAAGAGGATTTGTGTTAGCTGAGAAATAGGATAACAACAATGATGTGTACGGAACACGAGAATTGTTAACAAAACAAAACTCTTTACTATGGTAGCCATAAACTGGTAACCGTTTCGTTCTCAATAAACATAAGTTACTTTTCAATCGTTGAATGGTTACCACTTCAGGGAAACACTACAAGTTCGAATCCATCTACTTATTAGCTGTTTTCAACGATTCTCTGAATATATAACTTTATGTCTACTATGAATAGAGTGGTGAGCGATAAAGCTATTGAAGAATTCCTCCTCCTGCTCCGAGGTCACTAATCACTAGCAATAAACTCAGACAGGAGGATATAAATCCTCCTTTCAATTTGCCGGATACATTTGCTTTAGCACATACATGCGACTTGATATAACATGAAGACTTGTCAACCTTTGATTGTTTCAGTAAGCAATTAGTCTCAGAAATATCATCACACCTTTAAAACCATGATTTAGGTAAAGGAAGCTTTTTCTCGAGTATATCTTAGTTTACAGCTTCAATTAGTGTATATTCTAGTGCTTAACAGTGGTAATCTTTAACCATAGGTGGTTAGTGCAAGTCAGTGTACGTCTATATTTAAATCTGAGAAATTTAACTCTTACGGATGTTCATGTATCTCACATATTTAATAGATCATAATTTCATATAGACCGCCAGTCTTCTAATTGGCTCCTTAATCTTTCAAGGTCATTAGAATGTTGTCTTTACTAGTAAACAGTTTCACTTTCAAACTCTATGAATCTCAATTGTATTGAAATATTTCAACTTCATTATTCATATTGTAAATATATTCGATTAATATATCAAAAAAGAAGTTAAAGGATAAGATTTATATCAATTACTTTTAATTAAATAAAATTAACACGATTATATCACCTACCTTTTAATTCTTCATCTGTAAATTTAGGAAGAGATTTAACTTTACCACTTTTATACTTTTCATTAGTAATCAACTGTTCTGATTTTTGTGTTATTATTCTTAATGCTGATGGCGATGATGATGATTCTTGTTGATGAAGAGAATTTTCATAATCACCAATCACTTGTACATTTGTAGTATTATTGATAATTTGATGAACAGAAGGAGATAATTCTACAGTTTGTGTATTATTCACTCCATCATCCTCATCTTCATCATCGATATGATGTAATTTTAAGTTTCTAATTTCACGTTCCCAATGACGTACACTTGTATTAGCTTCAGATAATTCACCTTCTAATTGATTAACTAAACGATGAGAGATAACTTCAGCTTTTTTTATTTCTGTTAAATTAGTCTCTGCTTCAGTTAATTTAGTATGATTCATTTTTAATTGTTGTTGTATTTCTTCAATCTTAAAAGATAACAAAATTATTCAATCGTAATAATGATGATTAAAGACAATACAAATCGCGATAAGAATCAGCTGTTTTTTCCTTCAAAATACATATACGTGTAAACCTTGGGAACTGTGGTAGCCACACACACACACACACACCTTCGACATCTGGAACCTATCGTCCTATCAACATACATTCTTTCCTTTTATTGGTAGTAGAATTTCCTATATCTCTGGTATAGGTTTTGCCTCATCATTTCTATTACATGTGTTGCGTTTGATTGAATGAGCAGTTATACAGTAATCGATCTCTCTCAATCTTCATCTAATTATATAATGGATCTAAGTACACTGGCATTATCCTACACATCCTATTATATATATATATATATATATTTTTCGTTTGGGTTCCTAGTGGAACATACGGCTTCAGTTGCACGCCTCCATTGCACTCTCTTTTCTGCTGTCTTTTCAACCTGGCATCGTTTCTCCTTTGGATTCCACTCGAGAGCCTGGCACGTGATGTCCCCAGTCGGCCTTCACAGTGTACGCCCGATGCATCTCCACTTTCTTCTATATACCAATTCTAATGTGTGTTAATGCATCAATTGGAATAACCGAATTACTTTCTAGATTATTATTACTCATCTTATTCACGTCTCTCAATCTGTATTTGGCTAAATGCCTATGTTCGGCTATTCTAACTGACCACCAAATGTCTAGTTTGACCTATGCACTTCACCTGACTCCTCACAGTCATTACATGGAGTTTAATAGATTAGATTATTTTGCTGAATTGCTTATATCAGATCCTTAAGCCAGTCAACAAAGCTTATCTCTGAGTCAGTTGGTAGGTTTAAATGCTACTGCCACCTTGATTCCAGCTTTGTCCAGGATCCTACTTAAGGTCTCTGATATACCACCTTCCTTATAGGGTAAGACAGGGGAGGCTGTGAACTCCTTTCTACTTATGTTGTCGTCATTATTCGTACTGGTGTGACTGTTATCTTTTCGTTTCTCGTGTGTTCGACCGAATTTCTGAATAAACGGTAGAGGATAATTATTGACCATTAGCATTTCTTTTATGCACTTCGGTTCATTGTTTAGGTGCTTGTACTGACTAGTCATTTCTGTAGATTTACCAACTAGACATTTGACTAAACCTGCCTTAACTGACTGACAACATTGGATGAGATGACTTGAAGTGTGGATATCTACCTGTTGGAATGTGTCGATTTTCTGAGTACGGTAGTATCCAAACTATCATCTGTTCTTCGTTTTGTTCTGCAACCCAACATAAGTAATTCTCATTGTTCATTTTCTACCTCATAAGTGAATTGGATTGCGACTACTACTGAGTTTATATGTCTGTGAAGAAATTGTCGATATGTTCAGATTTCAACACAGTAAATGTATCATCCACATATAACCAGTATATCTTATGTGCTTTCCATGGAATGGTGTCGTATCTTGACTTGACTATAAAATTTAGCCTTTTCTCATCCTACTAAAAACATTAAAGAGATCTAGGATACAGTCAACAGCTTTCTCAAGTACAATACACAACCTTGAACGAATATATAATTGTACACTACCGACCATGTTCCTTCCTATATGGGATTTGTCAGCTGGACGTACCTATACCCCAGTGAGGAGTTATTGTTTCCCACAGGGACTCGAACCCATTATCAATCGCTTCAGACGCCAAAGCGTTATCCCATCACTTGTGCAACAGGTATCAGCTGTTTTTTTTAATACTTATCATTTCCTGCTGCTACACTGCGTCGAAATGCTCAACCTCCATTGGAAGATGCGTCGATATTGACAGATTATTTATTCGTTCTGTTACCGCCTGCTTAGTGACTACCAGTGGAATTCCAAAAGGCGCATTTCGTCACGTTTGGCTATCATACCACAGTGACCTTGTGGAAAACACTATGGCGTCTGAAGCGATGAGTACTCGGTTCAAATTTCAGTGGAAAAAAAATCACTCAATCCTGTACAGGTAAATCCAGCTGACGAGTCATAAACAAGACGAAATAAGCGCCCTAAATTTTACTGCTAGCAATAAGACAGTATCAACGCATCCGCATAGAAGCCTATCTGCCAACAGAAGAGGTCGAGTGATTCGACCCTGTAAAGCAACATGAGAATACAAGTATCAGGACTGCTCACATCTTATATATCAATGACTTAGGAAATTCAACACTTGAGATAATAGAGGCTAAAAAGTTACATTCTACAAAGAACCTTTAAACAAAATAGACTACTTGTTCAAAACAATCTTTCCATAAACTCTAAGGTAACTGCGAAAGTTCCGAAAGGATGCTTTACATAACATGATTTACTTCCAGGTCACATTCTAAGAGCTGTGACTTATTGGTTTAGACAGCACGTTTTGATTTACCAAACAATAGTTCACATGTATCCAATGTCGCACGAACTCGACGATGTACAAGCGAAAAACAACAAGTTGACAGAAGAGGCAGGGCAGCGAAGACGGGACTTCAAGTGAATGTAGAGAAGACGGACGTGGAGGCGAAGATACCCAACCAACAACAGCCTCAACAACAAGAGGCAGCAATCACCATTTATGGGAGAAACCTAAAAGAAGTTGTTTTTTTCACCTACCTAGGCAGCATCATTTCAACTACAGGCGGCATAGACGAGGATGTCAAAACCAGGATCAGAAAGACAGCAAGACAGGATTTCCTGCATTAATCTCAAATTACTGTGGAGATCTACTGCATCCCACTCAGCATGAAACGTGAACAACATCCGGATTTTCAACACCAATGTCGAACTAGTGTTCCTATATGGTTCGGAAACTTGGCGCGTTACGAAAACTACTTCCAACAAACTACAGACATTCATCAACAGCTGCCTACGCTGGCTAGATACTGAAGATCAGATGAGAAGGCGAGAAAGAACAAGCAAGGAGGAACACTCGCCTGGCAACGAACAAAGCAGGGAGGCAAGAACCTATCATCCAACAAATATGCACAATAAAGTGGAGATGGATTGCATCGGCCATACACTGAGAAGGTCGACTGGGGACATCACGCCCCAGGCCAGGCCCTCGATCGGAATCCAAAGGGAAACGACGAGTTGGTCGTCCCAGATGAGGGCGACATGGAAGACATCATATGAGGAAGAAATAAAAGCTTGTGGGCAGTCATGGTGCCAGGTTCAAAAGACTGCAGAGAAGAGAATGCAATGGTAGCGTGCAACTGAAGCCCTATGTTCCATTAGGAACGCAAGAGGAAAAAATAATAACAGTTCATATGTTCAAACCAAACTTTACCTACCCAGGAAGGTTTAGCCAGCTAAATGGTAGTAGTAGTATCATTAGCTTAAACACACAATAAGTGTGGCTCAAACCCGCCTATTGCACGAATACGCATCTAGTTGTTGTTGAGTCCCATCCAAAGCCTGTTTTTCAGTATTAAATTTTGTTATGCAATATCCATCTTAGGTTAAAGAAATATAACCCCATTAGTGTGCCAGTAGGTCTGCATTCAAGAGCAACAATCTGACGGAATATTAACACACACACATACACTGAGAAGGCCGACTGGGGACATCATGCATCAGGCCAGGCACTCGAGTGGAACCTAGTTGGGAAGCGACCAGTTGGGCGTCCCAGCTGAGGGTGACATGGAGGAAATCGTGCAAGGAAAAAATGAGAGCTTCTGGGCAGTCGTGCAGCCAGGTTTAAAAGATTTCAGAGAACAGAGCACACTGGAGATGTGCTACTGAAGTCTTATGTTCCATCAGGAACCCAAGGGACAAATAATTATATATATATATATATATATATATATATATATATATATATATATATATATATATATATATATAGTCAAAAGCATTTCTTGAAGTCTACTGCTTCAGAATATCATCGAATGAACCGTTCCAATTCATGTGGTGAAACCGCAAGAGGAGGTATTATCATTATTACCACCACTATCATTATTATTGCCATTATCATTACTATTATTATTATCATCATTATCATTGTTATCCCTATTATTATTCGGAATACAAGTAATGCAATCAATCATGAACCATACACCCCCACCTGAGCTTGAAGTTTTTGATAACTGTCCATAGAAATACTAGCCTTCTTCTCCACTTCTCTCAGTTTCTCATCAACACTAATCATTTTCTTTTGTAAGGATTCTAATTCTGTCTGCATATCTTGAATTTTTTCAGCAAGTTTTTGTTGATTACGAAGATTAGTTTTCAGTTTAACACTCAACTTTGTCAATTCTTCGTCAGTCTGTAGAAAACGAGACAGACAGAGAAAAATAAATAAATAAAAGTGATCACAGTAAATTAAGTAATAGAAAAACAAACTATTTTCAACATTGAAAACAACAATGTACATCATGAATAGAGAAAGACCTAGTGTAGTATATGATGCAAGAGATTTGTAGCTCGAAATGTCGAGAAATTTAGACAAAGTTGTTTTCTGAGGCTATATGTTGGTCGGCAGACATTCCAAAGGCATGTCAGATACTATCATCAGTGAATCCCTGCTTAACAAGGTAGTGAAAGAACTAATCCAGTGATGATGATGATGATGATAACACCTAGCATAACATTGAAATGTTCACTAATCGAAATCTCAGGTCAGACAACTATTGAACGTATAAACATCATTATAGTCTGTTTAGAGAACAGTGAGAAAAATCGATAAAAAAAAAGCACAGTTACAGTGTAGTATGCATTCGAACAAGGTTTCACAGCGAAATAGAAGTATATTATTATGCATAATCAGTATTAAAGAGTAGCAATTTACCACATGTTGAAAGGTCCCAGATTTGAATAATCTGAACGATTTTAAAATTGCCGTTTTCGTGGCCATTTTTACGCCATGACCAGTAGTTCATTCCCCCCTCTTCCTTCATTTCCAAGGCAACTCGCTGATTGGTTGATGATTGCTTTTACTATGTTATTACTTAAAATCCTGGTTAAGGTCATATGTCATATTCTAAGTTATTTGATTATAAGTTTCGGAGGTACACAAACTTAACCATCCCATAACAATTTTCACCTCCATTTCGTCCAGGTTGGAGTCAGTGGATTTTGCGTACAAAATTAGCTGTTTCTTAAGCGTACGTATTATGTCAACAGGAACGTAACAGTTGGCGACAGATGTGCCGAAAAAGGATGTACAACAATCAGAAAATTTTCAGTATGTTTTTATGTCATACAGTCGTTGATTGGACCGAATTGATCGGTCTCTATTCGCATATGGCCTCCTGTACGGATGCCTCGATATCGCCTGAGTTCTAATTATGTTACTGACGGACTGCAGCTAGCAGTGGAATCCAGGATGCACATTTCGTCTTGTTTGGGACTCGTCAGGTGGATGTACCTGCTTCCCAGTGGGTAATGTTGGTGGTGGAGTGGATAACGCGCTGGCGTTTGAAGCGATCGCTCCTGAGTCCGAATCCCGGTGGGAACAACACCACTCACTGGGAAGCAGTTACATCCAGCTGACGAGTCCCAAAAGCCCGAAATGCGCATCCTGGATTCCACTGCTAGCCACGATCCATCATTAATAAGAAAAGTTGATGGAGCAGTATTTGAAGGTGATGGAACTGCTTGCTGGTCTGCTCATCACTTCATCATCTACCTTTACTTCATCTCCTCTAGTACTCTGAAGTTTGTATATGATTCAGATGTCAACGTTACTTTTGATACATAGTTCCGAGGATATGAGGACCTTCTCATACTTGATTTCGCGAATCACGACGATGCATGGAAGTCAGACCTCTACTCCGAAAGCGTGATCCAAATGAAGTAGATAATACTGTAATCTTATCCTTCCAGAGACCTCTCACACACAAAAAAAACACTCAATGAAATAGTAAAAACTTTAGATCAACAGTTTGGAGAATATCTCTTTCCCCCCGCCCCTTCGATGCCTGCTACAATTGCATGAAACAAGTACTAAATAAAGATGATGACATCCATGCACAACTTGGGATTGTGAATAAAGCAAGTGAACGATTCAATGTGAAGTCACTAATAGACAAATAATTCGAGGTACTCCTATTCATTTGTGCACTTTATTCTCCTAAATTCACCTACTGTACATTGTCTGGAACAAGATACAAAGCTGACGTTGAAAGATGTTAGTGAAGAACATCAATGATTAACTAACATACATCAAGGTACCACCACCCTGATAAAGACTGGCGTGCAGAACTCAACAGATGTGTACGCCATTAAACATCCAGTAGCCGTGCCTGGTTCCACACTGTATAATGCATCGCACTGCCCTACGACTAGAACTTACCAAAAACCACCATATGCATGTTGCCATTATGTAAAATCGAGCCTTTTTAAACAAGTGCCGCAAGGACGGATTCTGTCATCAACCAAGTTCAGCTTATGGAAATAGAACCTTATCTTGACGTCGATCTACGCAAAGATCCATCAGAATGACGGCTACTTTTCAAATCAGTAGCCCAGTCCAGCGAAAGTACATAACATAAACAGTCAACCTGCATGTGTCCAGGTGGATACAGCATCTGATAACACAATGATTGCCTAGGGATTATGGTGCAACCTCGTTCAGTTAAAAAGTGTCAAGAAAGACACAAGCACCTATCATTGCATAAGGTGGTAAGCTTCAACTGGTAAGTCACTTAACCTGTTGTATTTCATTTAGAAATACTAATTTCGATGTAATTTTTTTTTACATTACCGAAGCTTATCTCAATCTTTTGCTACTCGATGGGGTTTAAGAGTCTGAAACTCGTCAACTTTCTATTGAATCCGGTATGCACCAAACGGGAAACATCGTCAGACATCCTGACCAATCCCTATTAATAATAATATTACTAAATGTTCAGGTGTTTTTCAACCTTGCCCCGATCAGTATGCCACAACCAAAGCCGTTCTACGTCTGAAACCAAGTACATCAGCTATCTTTTATCTTCGATGCATCATTACTTCTCATCCAGATAGCGCTGAGACGACTGCAAGAACAGGGTGTTATCACTTCAGTATCGTAATATTCGAAGCTAATGGCTCCATGCGACTTTAGACACACTTTTCGACAGGTTAAAATGCAACACCATTACCCCTCGCCTGTCCCAGGTAAACACTTTGAGTGGGAATTTGAGAATGTTTAGGATGCGTTCCTCACCAGCCAAGTGCAGATTGTTGTCCACGATTGGTTTCCAGTGGTGTCTCGGCTAACAATAGAGAGTGTAGTGGTTGAGTGTATCGACCACTTCACTTACCTGGGAAGTAGGATCAGCCCTGGTGTGTTGGTCAGTGGCCGATGAAATTTCTGCACGAATACAAAGGACTCGACTGGCTTTTGCCAACTTATGCCACCTATGGCACCGCCGTCATATCCGATTATCGATTAAGGGTCGCATGTACTGCACAGCAGTCAGCTCTGTTCTACTTTGTATGGCTGGGAAACATGGCCATTGAAGGTGCAAGACATGAGAAGGCTTCAGATGTTTGACCACCACTGCCTTTGTAGTATAGGCCATATTCCGCGGTGTCACCATGTGAGTAACGCACAAGTCAGGTATAGAGTTTTAAGGAGGGAGAATAGGCAAGTCGACTGATGAGGTTGTGAACCTTCATCGACTGAGATGGCTGGTTGGGACGCTTGTTACGTATGTCTAGTCGTCACACAATGTTGGCCGAAGCAGGTTCAAACTGGAAAAGGGCTCGAGGTGGCCGGACTAAGACATGGCATGAAGTATTTGACTATTGGTTTAAACCATGTGGGGCGATGCAGGCAAGTCGGTTGGGGGTGGTGGGACAAGAGAAACCAGTGATTGGAGACTTTAGGTGATCACATGGCTGAGAACCGATGTCAGTGGGGCAGATGTATAACACACATTATCCTAATCTGAACATCATACCAAATCTCACCATTTTTTCACTCTCCCTTTCTCTATTTTAGTACTTTATATTTCCTTTGACTGAGTTTTCCTTTCTTCATCTTGCACCTCACTGCACTTTCACTTGATGTACTAATATGACGTGTGGCAAGTTAAATCGTTACGCAGTAATGCTTGGTCCTATGTTGATTTGGATGAATGGATGGATGTTCAAGGTGATTTATTCACCATACTAAATGGAGGAAATCATTTCGTAAAATCGATCTGGAGGACGCACACTTACAAGAGCAAGTTCCTCCATAGTGGCGTGAACTCCGAACCACCAACACCCATCGAGGTCTCTTTCAGTGTAATCATCTGTCATTCAGCTTCACAACTTCCCGCCATTTTTCAACAGATCATGGAGACTATGCTGACAGGTAGTCTAGGTGTTGTTGCATATCTCGATGACATCGTAATAGTTGCCACGTGTTCAACGGAGACAAAGAATCGAATACGGTTGGTCTTACAGCGAATCCTAGACAACAACCTGTGACTCAGAGTGGAGAAATGTCAACTCTTTCAACAGTCAGTCAAATATTTAGCGTTAATCTTTGATAGATCTGGTTGACGTCCCGACCCTGAAAATACTCGCGCCACACAGCAGATGTCAAATCCAACAGATTTCACGACACTACGATCATTCCTTGGTCTCATCAGTTACTGTTCGGTGTTCCCGTTCTACCTACATGATATACGGGAACCGTTGAATCATCTCCTACGCAAAGATGCCACATGTTCCTGGTCAAGAGATTGTGATACTGCTATAGAACAATGCAAGTCCACTCTAAGCCCCGACCTCCTGTTGACACATTACGACCCACAGCTACCAATGGTCGTTGACACAGATGCTTCGATCGTTGGTGTTGGGCCGTCCTATTGCACAAATATACGGATGGATAACAAAGAGCTGTTAAACAGGCATCCCGACTTCCCATGTCAGCGGAGAAACGCTACTCACATATAGAGAAGGAGGCACTTGATTTAGTTTTCGCGGTCAGACGCTTTCACAAGATGCTGTGTGGACAGAAATTCATTTTGTTCACCGATCACAACCACCTTATCTTCATCTTCGGGTCAACACGTGATGTTCCAGCTCATTCCGTCAACGAGCTATATCAGTGGACAGTAACACTACTGAGCTATGATTTCGATATTGCATATCACCGAACAGAAGACTGTGGACAAGCAGACGTTACTTTCAGGACTTATAAATAAGTATCCTACGTCCAAAGAAGACGCAGTGATCACATTAGTATCTACAAATAAATATGCAGTTCACCTACTGGATTGAGCAGTCCACGCGCTTCTTGTCAGTCGGTTTAAACAGAAACAATATTCCACCAGGATCAGATCATACAGGAAGTCATACATTATGTCCAGAGAAAAAAGGCCACAGAACGCTTTCAGCGGTGACCTACAAGAACTGTCCTATAGAAGAGAATCCCTTGGTTTCTTTGGTAATTGACTCATGTTCGGGGAACCCGTAGTAGTCCCTAAGTCTTTTCGCGGAGAAGTCCTAAAGCATTTTTACACTAGGATCGAAATGATGAAAGCTATCGCCAGAAGCTAAGCGTAATGGTACAAAGTGGGTCCTCATATAGCTGAATCCATCACTGGTTGCGCATCATATCAGAAGGCGGCCAAGAATCTTCGACGTATTCTACTAAGAAGTTGATCATCGGCAGACTGACCTTACGCCGTAATCCGTGGATCCATTATGAGACCTTAACGTCTGGTTGTAGTTAATACTAACCCCGAGTGTCCAAAAATCATCGCAGTAACGCCCACATCATCACGCCGAACAATTGCTGCTGCTACAAATATTTCCTCATGCTATGGGTTGTCCCCAGACCATTGTTTCCGATAGATAATGAGTCACAACTCATTTCGCGCGAGAAAGCCAAGTTTTTCAGTGGGAATGTGATGCATTATATATGTATACCGCCGCACCATCTGGAACCCAGTGATCCGGTAGGAGGACTTGTAGACGCCTTTAAGTAAGCCTTACTCAAGGCGAAAAGATGGGGCAGGGCAATGGATATCATACAGCAATTCCTACTCGTCTATTGCTCAGCATCGAGTTATCAGGTCGCAAATCTTCAGCGGAGGATTTAATGAGAAGGAAGCCACATGCCTCACACCATGCAATGTAACCGTCACGTCGTACCCAAACAACACAAACAGCTGGATTACAGTTCAACAAGGTAGATAATGTCTACGTTTAAAACTAGGACATGGAATACGGAGAGAAAGGGCTGTCATAAAGGTGGATTAGGAGAAATGAGCAAGGTACAAGACTCAATTGCAGCATAGAAAGACCAATCAAACAGAGAATCAGATCAAAACTCTGGACATTCTCTTGGATACGTTCAAATTACTAACGATGTTGAAAGAATCCAATAACAACAAGGAGCATCGGCCAGAAGATGGAAGGATCGGAGGTGATCTCAAACAGTATGACTGAGCTGACTTGGAAATGTGTCATGCATGCCAAGCAACCAACTACATCGAAGTTACATGCTGGCAAAAGTTGCATTACGTTGGAAGGGAGTTCATGGTGGACAAGGCTAAGACGTGAGATCAGTCGACGAAGTTTTGGTTGTCGATCTGAGTAGTGAATTACCTAGTTGGGGCCCTAGAGACGATAGGAATCAGTAGTTGGGAACTATTGGTGAAATAGGTGGAAATCGGTCACAGACGATACTGTCCCGAAGACACTGACAAACTAAATCGTCCTCTGAACACCTCCAGCAGAAATCTCACTATGTTTGGCAAACGTCTCACACCTGGATGATGCTCCAGGGACTGATTTGGAACTGTTCTCCGTTTAGTAAGGGAGTAAAGTGGTCAGATGAGTTAAGGACTTCACTTACGGAGTTGCATCAGTGCTAACGGGTTAGTTGCTGACAAAATCTCACCTCGAATACAGAAGGTCCATTTGGCAATCGCTAACTTGTATCATCTGTGGCGCCAATCAATGAGAAATCCAACTACCTATTGAAGGATGAGTATATGCTCCGCTGAAGTCCTTTCTGTCGTGAGCAATGTTGAGGTCAGGCGAAGGGTACTAAACAGGACAGGCAAGTTGAGTGATGAGATTCCTAACGTTCATCAATTAAGGCTGCTGGGACATATATTACGAATGCCAAGTCACCGTTTACATCGAACATTTTTAATTCCATCCACCTTGTTCCATTATGCTTAATGATATATATCTGCTTGGATTCTACGTATTCTTTAAGCTGTGTAGAAGTGAAAAGGCTCTCCGAAGCAACCTTCCACACATTTGTGTAGAGTAGGCAGTGAGTCACAACCACTAGTTATGTGATGGCTGACTGTCTAAACCAACTCGACAGGTCGAGCGCAGTGTTCGAACCGGTGGACTACTGGTTAAAAATCAGTTGTTTAAACCAATAAGCTCGAGTTGTAAACATGTGAAGTTGAAGGACAAAAAAAAACACCTAAAATATCTTCTCCAAAAGTGTACTTCTACTCTAGGCTGAAACTTATCGATGATACGCTTATCAGTAAGAATAGTAGTTAATAAGTGTCTATAATGAATTTGTTTTAAAGATTATGATGTAGATGATGACAGTGAAGTTTCAAAGGAACCAATAATTCATAGTGAAGAATTCCTCTTGGAAACTAATGTAAAATGGAAAGGTTGTGATACAACTGACATCTTCTGAAACAAAACAGTCATAATTAAACATATATTATGTATTGATCTAAAGGAAAGTCGTTGAAAATGTGTGAAAACCGTGATTATTATTGATTGCAGGTCAGTAGGTCAACGTTATGAATCGTACAATAATAATAACCGGTTACTAATGATTCAATGACAGCTGAATCATAAGAACAAGATCCGGATTTTCAATACTAATTCACTCAAGTAAGTCATTGCTTCTATGTGATGGTTGACAGACTTGGTGCATCACGAAAACCATTTCCAACAAACTACAGACATTCATCAACAGCTGCCGCCTACGCCTATCTCTCTACGTCTACACTCACTCCATACTGGAGATCAAATCACATGGCCAGGCCAGGCCAGGCCAGAAAGAATAAGCAAGGAGGAACTCTGGTCTGGCAACCAACGAAGCAAGAACCCATCACCCTACAAATATGTAGCAGAAGAAAGTGGGGATGGATTGGATTGAGTGTACACTGAGAAGACAGTTTAGGGATATCATGCGTCAGGCTAGGCCAGACCGTCGAGTGGAACCCTAATGGGAAACGATGAGTTGGGCGTCGCAGCTGAGGGTGACATGAACAAGATGGTGTGAGGAAGAAATGAAAACTTCTGGGCAGTAGTGTAGCCAACTTGGAAGGACCGCAAAGAAGAGAGTGAAATGGCGACGTGCGACTGAAGCCCTATGTTCCACTAGGAACCCAAAAGGGAAACTAAGATGATGATGATGATGATGATGATGATGATGATGATGATGATGATGATGATGATGATGATGATGATGATGATGATGATGATGATGATGATGATGATGATGATGATGATGATGATGATGATGATGATGATGATGATGATGATGATGATGATGATGATGATGATGATGATGATGATGATGATGATGATGATGATGATGATGATGATGATGATGATGATGATGATGATGATGATGATGATGATGATGATGATGATGATGATGATGATGATGATGATGATGATGATGATGATGATGATGATGATGATGATGATGATGATGATGATGATGATGATGATGATGATGATGATGATGATGATGATGATGATGATGATGATGATGATGATGATGATGATGATGATGATGATGATGATGATGATGATGATGATGATGATGATGATGATGATGATGATGATGATGATGATGATGATGATGATGATGATGATGATGATGATGATGATGATGATGATGATGATGATGATGATGATGATGATGATGATGATGATGATGATGATGATGATGATGATGATGATGATGATGATGATGATGATGATGATGATGATGATGATGATGATGATGATGATGATGATGATGATGATGATGATGATGATGATGATGATGATGATGATGATGATGATGATGATGATGATGATGATGATGATGATGATGATGATGATGATGATGATGATGATGATGATGATGATGATGATGATGATGATGATGATGATGATGATGATGATGATGATGATGATGATGATGATGATGATGATGATGATGATGATGATGATGATGATGATGATGATGATGATGATGATGATGATGATGATGATGATGATGATGATGATGATGATGATGATGATGATGATGATGATGATGATGATGATGATGATGATGATGATGATGATGATGATGATGATGATGATGATGATGATGATGATGATGATGATGATGATGATGATGATGATGATGATGATGATGATGATGATGATGATGATGATGATGATGATGATGATGATGATGATGATGATGATGATGATGATGATGATGATGATGATGATGATGATGATGATGATGATGATGATGATGATGATGATGATGATGATGATGATGATGATGATGATGATGATGATGATGATGATGATGATGATGATGATGATGATGATGATGATGATGATGATGATGATGATGATGATGATGATGATGATGATGATGATGATGATGATGATGATGATGATGATGATGATGATGATGATGATGATGATGATGATGATGATGATGATGATGATGATGATGATGATGATGATGATGATGATGATGATGATGATGATGATGATGATGATGATGATGATGATGATGATGATGATGATGATGATGATGATGATGATGATGATGATGATGATGATGATGATGATGATGATGATGATGATGATGATGATGATGATGATGATGATGATGATGATGATGATGATGATGATGATGATGATGATGATGATGATGATGATGATGATGATGATGATGATGATGATGATGATGATGATGATGATGATGATGATGATGATGATGATGATGATGATGATGATGATGATGATGATGATGATGATGATGATGATGATGATGATGATGATGATGATGATGATGATGATGATGATGATGATGATGATGATGATGATGATGATGATGATGATGATGATGATGATGATGATGATGATGATGATGATGATGATGATGATGATGATGATGATGATGATGATGATGATGATGATGATGATGATGATGATGATGATGATGATGATGATGATGATGATGATGATGATGATGATGATGATGATGATGATGATGATGATGATGATGATGATGATGATGATGATGATGATGATGATGATGATGATGATGATGATGATGATGATGATGATGATGATGATGATGATGATGATGATGATGATGATGATGATGATGATGATGATGATGATGATGATGATGATGATGATGATGATGATGATGATGATGATGATGATGATGATGATGATGATGATGATGATGATGATGATGATGATGATGATGATGATGATGATGATGATGATGATGATGATGATGATGATGATGATGATGATGATGATGATGATGATGATGATGATGATGATGATGATGATGATGATGATGATGATGATGATGATGATGATGATGATGATGATGATGATGATGATGATGATGATGATGATGATGATGATGATGATGATGATGATGATGATGATGATGATGATGATGATGATGATGATGATGATGATGATGATGATGATGATGATGATGATGATGATGATGATGATGATGATGATGATGATGATGATGATGATGATGATGATGATGATGATGATGATGATGATGATGATGATGATGATGATGATGATGATGATGATGATGATGATGATGATGATGATGATGATGATGATGATGATGATGATGATGATGATGATGATGATGATGATGATGATGATGATGATGATGATGATGATGATGATGATGATGATGATGATGATGATGATGATGATGATGATGATGATGATGATGATGATGATGATGATGATGATGATGATGATGATGATGATGATGATGATAATTTAGTAAGTAATTCAGTCATTTAGATAGGCAATGCTTTTTATGCTGCACAAAGTTGGTCAGTTATTTTAGTCACACAAAGAATAAACAAATATTCAACGATACCACCACCAGATGAAGATTGTGTTATATCATTAATTGGCAAAAGCAGAAAAATGTGAATCATTGTATTCCTGCTCAGTGGTTCCATTGTCACGGGACCATACAGCTGAGAAGTTCCGAAATAAAATGAAACATTTGTTGTATAGTGCTTCCAAGTTTTTGATGGTTCTCTAAACTGATGTCATTCCATGATGAGAAGAAGTCATGACTAGTGAACAGGGCAAGTCCAATTAAACAAAAAAAGGTATACACACATCATATATATATATATATATATATATATATATATATATATATATATATATATATAGTAATTACATACCTCTCTAATTTCCTTAATTGTAGTATCAATTTGTTTTTGTACAGCAGATAAACGATCAGATCCGAAATTGATAACTTCATTTTTTAAATTGTTTAAAATTTCACTTTTTTTTAGTTAATTCAGAGTTTTTTTGTTGAGATAACTTTTCAAGTTTATGAATTTGTTTTTCAGCTTTTTGACGTTCTACATCACTTGGACTAGCTTGTTTAACTCGTTTTTCAGCTTCAGTCACTGCTTCAATTAACATTTTCACATGATCACGTAATTCAACACAACCAGACTATAATTTTAACCAATAAATAAATAACTTTAAATAATTAATACAAAAGTATGAATAATAATGGAATATAGTTTTATAGGCTAAATTGTGTTGAAAAAAACCAGAACAATTTCATTAACATAACAAGTTGAAAGCTTTTGAAGTGTAGACAGAAGTAAGACAAGGCTGTCTACCATCACCCATGATCTTCCTGATTGTGATCGACTGGATAATGCAGCAGACAACTATGAGGAGCTGTGAGAAGAGGGGGATACGCCAGCTGGACCGAGGAAAACATCCTAGAAGATTTCGATTTCATCGATGATGACTTGTGTCTAATGTCACACAAACTTGAGGATCTACAGGCAAAATCCAACAAGTTGACAGAAGAGGCAGGGTAGCGAAAATGCGACTTCAAGTGAACGTAGAGAAGGCAGAGGTGATGAAGATACCCAACCAACACCACCAACAACAACAACGAGCTTCAGTCACCATCAACGGGAGAAACTTAAAGGGAGTAGCCTCCTTCACATATCTAGGCAGCATCGTTTCAACTACAGGCGGCAAAGGCACAGACAAGGACATCAAAGCAGCCAGGACAGGAAAGACAGCAAGACAGGTGTTCACTAGCCTGAAACCAGTGTGGAGATCTTATGCACTCAGCATAAAGCGTGAACAAAATCTGAATTTTCAATACCAATGTCAGTCAAGTTAGTACTTCTATGCGATGGTTGACAGACTTGGCGCGTTACGAAAGGCATTTCCAACAAACTAGAGACATTCACCAACAACTGTCTACGCTGGCTCGTTACTGAAGCCCAGATGGCCGGAGAGAATAAGCAAGGAGGAAGTGTGACCTGGCAACGAACCAACAAAACAAGAACCTAACTCCCAACAAATATTCACTGGAAGGAAGTGGAGATGGATTCAGCATACACTGAGAAGATCATTCGGGGACATCACGTGCCAGTCAAGGCACTCAAGTAGAACCCAGATGGGAAACGGTGAGTTGGACGTTTGAGGTGAGGGTGACATGGAGGAGATGGTGTGAGGAAGAAATGAGAGGTTGTGAGCAGTCGTGGAGCCAGGTTGAAAAGATTGCAGAGAACTGGAGAGTGGAATGGAGACGTGCTAGTGAGGCCCTATGTTCCACTAGGAACCCAAGGGACAAATAAATAATAATAACCAAGTTGAAATAATATACTGCTGAATAGAGTTGAAGAATGTTTGCCTAGAATTGTAATTCGATAGATGAGATTGTTAACATAAATCAATTATCATGGCGCGTACAGGTACTATGCATCCCAAGCCTACCTCGATCGGTCATGCTAACAAAAATTGAATTTGCTTCGAAGATGGTTCAGGGTGGCCAGACCAAGATAAAGCAACAGTTGATAAAGTCCCTAACTGTCGGTCTTTTTCTAACCACCTGTTCTTTGTGTACTTCTGTGCAGTACATCAGCTTGAGTAGATGCAACTGTGATCTAGGTTCTATGCTGATTTTGAGAGAGAGAGAGAGAGGGGGAGGGAAGAAAGTAGTCAAAAGTGTTAATGAATCACAAAAAGAGAACTCCAAAGAATGAAACAATAACGAACTGTGAATAAAACGACTAAAATGAAGATTATCTGTCTCCATGCTTCTGTATCCTACTGACATCAATTTTCAACCATATCACCTACAGACGACTACAACCATCGGTTTCTATTGGCACGTATCGATCCCGACACACGAGTCTACATTCTCCTACACTGCTCACATATAATACAGTTAAAGAATTCATGCAATGATATCACCAAGAGTTCTCAACCACTGATTTCATATCATTTCGACGACCCCAGTAAGAGACTTCATCGACTGTGGTTAGGTTAAATAGTTTGATCACCCTGGACCCTCTTCCAAGCTAATCCAACTTTTAGCATGACACACATCAAAGTATGCAGTGGCTTGACATGCATAGTACATATATGCACGCAATTTCAGTCGACTAAGGCTCACAATCTCATCAAATGATTTGTCTATCATGTCTAATACTATTCGTCACGGATTCGATTTTATTTCTCACCTTCAATCAATTATATCATCAATTGGTTTAATCAGTTAGATTGACACTAAAGGAATTCAAGAATAAAAGGTGAAGTGTTTTGATGCACACTTGTCTGAGATAATAAAATAAAGCGCATTTATCAAAGGCTCGGTGGAAAATCCCGGTATCTCGTGGATATTTAACCATCAACCTCATATCTACACAAACACTAACAACAGCACAAAATTTATGCTTTAAAGTAATAGAAGGTCATGATTAAGAAGAGAAAAAAATCATTTAAAAAAAGTTTATATATATACACACAAGCTTACCTCAAGTAGTTCAACTTTCTTTTCAGCTCCACGTCGTTGACATGTTAATCGCATAATCATTTCATTTAAACGATGATGAGTTTCACGAAGACGACTTAGTTCATTATCACTTTGAGTTAATTGTTTTTCTAAGATTGATACTTCTTTTTCATTAATTCCATTTGTACTTGATCCAAGATTTTTTGATTCTGTTATTTGACCTATTGTATAAAATTCCTTAGCTACACTGATGTCTGTTGCTATTCTACCTGAGATTGGATGACCTCCACCACCTGACATAGCTCCGGACACTTCAATAAGTTGACCCTAAGAAATATAGAAATAATGAAAAAGTTTAATGAAATATCTAATATGATGTGAGAATATATTAGCATATTGATTGAAAGACATGACTTTTATGTGTCTGGACAATCCGTCAGTACTATTGTAGGGAACGGAGACGAAAGAAGGAATGTTTATTATTGGCATCTTATAAAATTATTATTATTTGTCCTATGGGTTCCTAGTGGAACCATAGGGCCTCGCTAGCACGTCTCCATTCCACTCTCCAGTTCTCTGCAATCTTTTCAACCTGGCTCCATGACTGCTCACAACCTCTCATTTCTTCCTCACACCATCTCCTCCATGTCACCCTCACCTCAAACGTCCAACTCACCGTTTCCCATCTGGGTTCTACTCGAGTGCCTTGACTGGCAATTGATGTCCCCGAATGATCTTCTCAGTGCATGCTGAATCCATCTCCACTTCTTTCTAGTGCATATTTATTGAGAGATAGGTTCTTGCTTTGTTGGTTCGTTGCCAGGTCACACTTCCTCCTTGTTTATTCTTTCTGACCATCTTGTAAAATAGTGATGAAATATTGTACACCTTCCACCAAGACAGTCATTTCTTCTTCTGCATCTATCTTGATTTATTCTTAACACGCTCACATTGTCTCTTGCGTTTCTCTGGGTAGAATCTTCACTCATTGCTGATATACTGCATATGGTTTCTACCGTCATCTCAACATATACTACATATGTCCATTGTGATCAGCAATGCCCACTAAAGTATATCATAAACAGTGACACACTAGGTGTAATTTACAGTACAGTACAGCACATAGGAGTTCAATGGAGCAGCAGACTGTTACACTAAAAGATACTTTCATTTTCGGTATCTTCATATCCAGTGTTCTATAACTCTAATTTTCTTCAATGTAGAATCTTTACCAGTAACCCATCATCATATCTTGATATTGCTCTATATACTAATAACATACATTCCTATAAGTAATGTACATTACATTTGTCTTCCATATCCACCAACTGAAAATTCAGTTATGCAGTTCAACAGATCCTCATATTCAGTTGTCTCGAACTTCTCTTCTCAGTGCCATTCGACTCATTTTAGAACATTTGCATTTGTTTCATCATTTCACTATGTACACTGATTAAATATGGTTCTTTCGACTTGAGGAGTAATTTTCTTTACTCTGGTCTATCATCCCCTGTAAGTGGTGCACTTTTGTTGCCTAGACTTCACATATTCTTCAACTTCAAATAGTTTTGCCTCCTTACATCCTTTAATCAAACTTCTCATCAGCTGTTTGTTGCTTATAGGCTACTTTTTTATAACATGCTACATTTACAAACCTCATAGTACTCCACCTTAGAGGTTGCGGTCAAACTTCATTTTACTCTGTTAGCCACAGTCGTCCACCATATAACAAAGACAAGAATGATTCCTCAGATGTCCCTTCCTTCTACACAGGTAGAATGTGATAAAAAAAAAGTGATCACATTACACAGTCATCCTCCTCTCTGTCAAAATACTCGTCTGTGACCGATAATACATCACTCGTTAGACTTTGTTTGATGCCCAGTTGTTTCAAGCACGACTTAAATTCTCCACTCTTAAAACACAAATCATAATCTGTCAATATCATCTTCGTCACCACGTGGTCTCCAACAATAAATCATATCACAAACTTCAGTGACCATCTTAGTGCGTTGATCTGCCTAATCATCAATCCATCTATCTATCCAGCATATAGCATGCTCTGTCATTACGAGCAGGTATTGGTTATTGTTATTTGTCTGCGAAAACAATTCCGTTATATCCACTGACTATAAGCCAAATAACTATGGGAGTTGAGTGGCGGTAATTCCATAATACCTATGTAACGAGATTGGACAGGTATTACACATGTCTAGTCACTGTCTATTCTGTCGTGAAATCTAAGCTGAAGCAGGTGTGTATTGGAGTAAGGTTGGAGGAGGCCAGACTAATGTACGATATCATTGCATGAAGTGTTTGACTATGTTGTATGTGTGTGTGTGTGTGGAACGGTGTAGGAGAATGTAGACTCGTGTGTTGGGATCGATATGTGCCAATAGAAATCGATGGTTGTAGTCGTCTGTAAGTGATATGGTTGAAAATTGATGTCAGTAGGATACAGAAGCATGGAGACAGATAATCTTCATCTTAGTCGTTTTACCCACAGTTCGTTATTGTTTCATTCTTTGGAGTTCTCTTTTTGTGATTCACTAGCATTTTTGACTACTTTCCTCCTCATCTATCTGTTTCTAACACGTGTCAACTTACTTGATTGGAAATGTGACAACTTGAACAGTTATCCAGTTTAAGCTATTTCTCATGTTAACACTGACTAATATCAACAGATTATTCATAAATGCCATCGACTCCCAAATGTAGGAGTTGCAAGAACGACGAAGAATCGCTCACTGGCAACTAGCTTGCTCATCTCAAGTGTGTAGATTTACAGAAGGTGATCAGTGCATACCCCTATCAATACAGTCGATCCTAGTAACCGTAAGTACTCACATATAGTCAGTGGATATAACGAAATTGTTTTCGCAGACAAATAACAATAACCAATACCTGCTCGTAATGACAGAGCATGCTATATGCTGGATAGATAGATAGATAGATGGATTGATGATTAGGCAGATCAACGCACTAAGATGGTCACTGAAGTTTGTGATATGATTTATTGTTGGAGACCACGTGGTGACGAAGATGATATTGACAGATTATGATTTGTGTTTTAAGAGTGGAGAATTTAAGTCGTGCTTGAAACAACTGGGCATCAAACAAAGTCTAACGAGTGATGTATTATCGATCACAGACGAGTATTTTGACAGAGAGGAGGATGACTGTGTAGTGTCATCGTTTTTTTTTAATCACATTCTACCTGTGTAGAAGGAAGGGACATCTGAGGAATCATTCTTGTCTTTGTTATATGGTGGACAACTGTGGCTAACAGAGTAAAATGAAGTTTGGCCGAAACCCCTAAGATGGAGTATGATGCATAAAATAGCAAAGGAGCATAATGTTGGAAGATGCATTTAAATACAACACGCTTTATGCAGCCTATGTAATGAATCCCTTGAACAGGAACAAACGAATCAGCAGATGTACATGGAGATGAACCAAATAGATAGTTTATCCTGAACACACCCTAGGATCAGTTGTTGACTGGAGAAAAGAATCCAAAGTTGGGTGGAAAAAAAAAGTCCTCCTCAGTGCTTTTTACACAATCATCTCTTCATGTTCCTCCTCTTGATGAATCCTGAAGGAGAACTATTTTCAATGAGCACTTATCCAAGTAATTCCAGCTCCTCATATACTGCATCATTTGTAAAAACTGTTTGAATTATTTTGCGTGGTGAAGTAATTCGAATGGCGTATTGCCCATTCCAAGTGGTTTTCCACTGTAAACGAAAAAAACGATCCTCTGAGGGAACCAATACATCCTCTCAATGGAACGCAGACGAAGTGGAATTCTGAGTTATCTTCAAAATTTCTATAGTAAATTTAGTTGAATTGTGACATTTATTGAACATCTATAGTATAGGTTAATATTATTTTCATCCCCCTACACCTTATTCTTTAACTGTTTCATGTTTCTTACGTGTTCTATGAATTCCTGCTGAACCATGACCATCTCAGACAGTGTCAAAATGATAATCAATATGATGCTCCCCCTCTCTAATTCACTTAGATTTGAATTGGAATGAGAAGTTCTCAGTGAGCACCCAGTGTGAGTACTATCAAACGACTGAAGTGAAATAAATTTCTGGTCAGTAGTCGGGTGTCATAGCTTAGTTGATAGAGTACCAAGCCAGTAACTCGGTGTTCACTGGTTCAAATCCGACTGAGGACTAAATTTTCATCTTATCACTAATCATCGCCCGGTGTAATCTGTAATAACCTTGTATCTACTCATCAGTTACTGGGGTGTCACTTTTTCTTATTGTATCTATAAAATACGGTTGGACACCTTCAGAAAATGTTTCGCTGGCAAAAAGTTTTCTTCATCAAGATAATATTTTATATCATTCAAAGGGATTTATGATATTTACAGGTATTCCACATATGTGTATAGTGTAAGCAGAAATAAATATATATATAGATAACATTGGAAAACAATTGTGATGCATTGCATAGAATCATCAATCATTGAACTTTAAATAACCATCGAGTAAGCTGTAATGAAATATTAAATTTAGTTTTAAAAAATTCAGTATTTTCAATGACATTGATGAAGAAAATAAAAAGAGTGACAGTCAGTGTACTGTTTAGTTGTCAGATTCGTTCTATCTCTCTTACCTGAAGTGTTACAGTTCGATAACGTTGTTGTTGACCAAAAGCAACCTGTGTAGCTGCATCTAGATCGTTTGTTACCAAAGTGTTTCTTAGCGCAAAATAGAAGGCTGGTTTTATAACTGGATCAACTGTTTCAACCAAGTCATATAGACGGTATACTTCAAATGGTACTTTTGGTATAGTAAATCGGTTAAGTGATTGATGAGCCCATTTCTCCATTTTATCTAAAGCTGCAGAAATATATAAGGCAGGTAAACAGCCAGACATCAAATTAATTAATTCAATCATCAATATAATGTCACAATCTGTAACTGATTACACTTAATGGTGACCAATACAAGTTAATGTAAACACACACACACACACACACACACACACACACACACACACACACACACATATGGCATACATTAAAACAACCCAAGTTTATTGATGAATAGTGGCCAGCAGGGGAATCCAGAATGCACGTTTCGTCCTATGTGAGACTCGTCAGCTGGATCAACTTGCCTTCAAACTACCAGAAATCGAACTGAAGTTTAATCTCTAAACTGTTTCCTAGTGATTCACTTCACATACAAGAGATGTTTGATCGAATTTTATTAACCATTATAAGTTTATCATCGCTAACAATTATATTCTGCATATATATTAGTGAAAAATGCATAAATTTACAGTATGCTTGATATATTCAGCCCTTCGTAAACGTTACCATAAGCAGTATAGATAGATGTGCACTAGTCAAGCTTTTTGTAATATCTTACGGAAAATCCAAGTTAAACAAACAGATAAATAAAATCAACGTAGAACGCTGCATACAACTGGATCACTTCAAGTAACCATACGTCACAGTAGAATACAAAGAAAGACTGATATCAAAGTAAAAGTAGATAAAGGTGCACGAGACGAAAGGAAATTTACAAAATTAAGCTTTAGAAAAATTCAGAGAGTAAATACATCTCCGCCATTACGACTGATTCTTAGCCATATCACCAAGAGTCTGCAACCATTGATTCCTATGGTATGAGTGACCCCCGGCTCAGAACAACAGTAAAAGACTTGTCCCACGTCTTGATCTAGTCACCGTGAATCCTCTGCCAAATTAAATCCAACTTCCGGAAAAGCATGGCACATCGAGGTAGGGGATGGCTCGTCATGCACAGTATATATCCAATCCATCTCTGTCACCTGTAGTTCACAATCTTGTTAATCGACTTGCCTGTCTTGCCTAATACCCCTTTTGTCTGACCTCAATATTGCTCACACGGTGATTCAAACAGACATGAGCAATCCTACGAAGATATCTGTGATCAAAACCCTGTAACCGTTTGACATCTACTTTTTAACGGTTATACGTATAACAAGAGAGAGAAGAGACTACCTCAGTTAACTCGGTTGCCAACGCCACATGTGATGCAAGTTGTCAAACGCGAGACATGCTTTCTGCATCCAAACTGAGATCTCGTCAGTAAACAGACCATTCAGGCTGATGTAACTCTCCAAGTAAGTGAAGAGGTCAGCACATTCCACCACTTCACTCCCTATCATTAAACTGGGAGTTACTTGCTGCAGAACAACGATCATTATATTTGTCTAGATGTTAAAAATACTCGAGTACACACATGCAACTTTATTGAAAAACAGAACGATAAATTACCGATGAAAGTGGCTCGCCCAAGATTATTTTCTTTCAAAAATGTTACAGCTTTCTGAGCTGTATCCATTGTATCTGTTACGAAATGGTCTAAAGCACCACAAGCTGTTGAAATTGCAACATCATAACGTGGTGGAATAGCGCCTAGATCTCCAAGTCTACCAATAATTCCTGGTAATATCCCAGAACGCTTTGCCTCAGTGAAAGCTTTTAAAAGTCGATTTTTTGAATTTTCCGCCTATTTATTAAACATACAAACAAACAAAAAATCGTATTCAAATATGATAGTTATTTGAAACAATAGTTAAGTGGTAAAAGGCATACTGCTTTAATATCCTCTTTTCATGAATGTTAATCACATTACTCAACTTTGTCATACATGCTGACTTTATTATAATTCTCCTACCACATTGCTATGTAACTTCCCATTCAATGAAACAATTTATCAACTATTTCAAAATGTCTTGAAAGCAACAGTCTGGTGAAATGGTAGAACTTTCCTGACGCGAGAACCTTCAGTGAATGTTTACAGAGGAATACCCTAAGCCAAGACTACTAAACAATTCATCCTACTACTTAGTTGGTGTACTTAGTTAGTAAACAATAATATATGTTCGAAGGTGAAATGAAAATCTGGGCAACGGTAGGGTTCGAACCAGCAACCTCCAGGATTTGAATCCTGTCGAGGTCCAGATTTTACCTTTCGATCATCATTCAGCATCCATACAAGTCTGCTTTTTCAGATAGTTTAACTGATAAATAATACAGGTAACTTAACAACCACGTACAGGTAAGCATACTAGACAATAAACAATACTTACTGCGTGTGAGATCTGTGATGCTATCCTACCAGCCCCAAAGGACAGGTGCAGAAAGGTTCGAATATATGATTAATCGTCTGGAAGTCCAGTATTTAGTCTGATTAGCCATAGCATTATATGGTATGCAACTATTCATATTGACATTTCAAAAGAGACGCTCAGTTCACCATGCACAACTGTGGAACTGACCCCCCCCCTCAAGTACCCCTTACATCATAAATTACTAATGAAAGGTCAAATTAAACAATAAAAAAAAGATTCATACCTGTAGAGCGCATTTCATACCAGTCAATTTCTTTCGTATATTATTAGTTTCCTTGATTAGATCAGCTTCATGAGCTTCAACTTCAGCTAAATCACGTGTTGCTGAGGCTAACGCTGTCACTAAGCTTCCTTTACCACTATTTGGTGTAGATGCTAATTGTTCCTTGACTTCATTCAATTGATTTTCACGATCTTTCAGTTGATTTTGAACTACTTCCAAATCTTTACGTGTTGCCTCCAAATGCTCTGATTCACGACGTTGACCAGCCAGCATAAGATTATATTTTACACGTTCTATACTTAATTCATTTTTTATTTGATCAGCTTCTGCTTGTAATTGGCCTAGAACAGTTTCATTTTCTTTAACTTTGATTCGTAAAGGTGCAGATTCTTTAGCTAAACTATCAACTGTCTCCTACATGAGGATATAATAGAATAGAATAAAACTAGATATTGGTCATAAGGAATGCTAAATTTGCATACATGAGAAATATCGTAGGGATAAAGATGTAAGTCACACACACACACACACACACACACACACACACACACACACACACACACACACACACACACACACACACACACACACACACACACATACATACATACACACACACACATCAACGTACAACTGACAAAAATTACAACAGTTTAATATAATTCACAGCTACACGTATGTTTCAATGTACAAGACCATATGAGCAATACTTCCCATTTAATGGTTGTTTATTGAGCTACTGACCTAGTTCCTTATGAAAAGATAGATGGAGAGAAGGTTGAATCTGAGAGATCCATTACTTAAAATCCAAGTCCCTACTTAAGAGAATGAGGCGAATTGCCTAAGCAACGATAGAGAAAATAACAATACGGTAGTCATTCCTTGATAAACTTAATAGCTAGAATATCATAATACAGCAGGAAGTTTCTTATGCTTGTATAACTTAGCAACCAAGTACAGATTTCGTAGCGAACTATATATATATATATATATATATATATATATATATATATATATATATATATATATATATATATATATAATCTGACGGTTCATAATGATGCTAGTCTGATAACCTGACCGAAGTAGATGGTGTGCGATTTGAACGCAAGATCCACCGTTTGAAATCAGTGTCTAAGACAACGAACTACAGTCATATAGAAGATATCTATTCAGTTTTATCTGTTTATTACCTTATGTAGCAGAGTAAAGAATTTCGAAAGTTTCATCTTTACACCAAGCTGCCACTTACCCCTTGTACCGAACTGCTACACAATTTAAGCAACCAACCGTACAACTATTTACAAGAGATCGTTTTTGATGATATTCTACTCGACATGTAACAATGGGTAGGGAAGGCTGAGGGAAAAAAGCTTTGAAGTCATATCAATATTAGATTTATTGATTTTGATCAAGCACAGTAGTAGTTCTGTTCAGTAGATGAGATGAAGTTGTGGGCATAATAATAATGTATTGCTGCATGCCGCACAGATGAGGACATCAAAGCCAACCATGATAGGAAAAACAGCAACACATACCTCCCTGCATTAATCTGAAATCAGTGTGCAGATCTACTGAACTCCACTGCACTCAGCATAAAGCGTGAACAACATCCAGATTTTCAACACTAATTCAATCCACTAAAGTTACTGCTTCCATCTGATGGTTGACAGACTTGGTGCATCACGAAAACCATTTCCAACAAACTACAGACATTCATCAACAGCTGCCGCCTACACCTATCTCTCTACGTCTACACTCACTCCATACTGGAGATCAAATCACATGGCCAGGCCAGGCCAGGCCAGAAAGAATAAGCAAGGAGGAACTCTGGTCTGGCAACCAACCAACCAGCAAACAAACCAACGAAGCAAGAACCCATCACCCAACAAATATGTAGCAGAAGAAAGTGGAGATGGATTTGATTTGGTGTACACTGAGAAGACCGTTTGAGGAAATCACGCGTCAGGTTAGGCCATACCGTTGAGTGGAAGCCAAAGGGGGAACGACGAGTTGGGCGTCGGGGAGGTGAGGGTGACATGTAGGAGATGGTGTGAGGAGGAAATGAAAGCTTGTGGGCAGTGGGATGTAGCCAGGTTAGGACTGCAGAGGGGGGAATGAAATAGAGGCGTCAACTGGTGAGATATCCCACTATCCATCAAAGGACGAGCATACTGCGCTGTATCACAGTCGGTTCTGTCCTGTCATACGACTTAGACATGGCTCTTGAAAGTAGATGACATCAAGTGGTTACAGGGTTTTGGACACAGGTGCCTTCGTAGCCTTGGTTGTATTTGGAATCACCGTGTGAGCAGTGTTGAGGTCAGGCAGAGGGCAGTAGGCAAGAAAGGCAGGTGGATTGACAAGATTGTGAACTTTCATCGGTTGAGATGGAGTGAAAATGTGTTGCGCACGCTGAACCACCGCCTACGTCAACGTGCTACGTTACTGGGAGCAGGATTAAGTTGTAAGAGGGTTCAGGGTAACTAGACCAGGAAGTGAGACAAGTTGATGAAGTATCTTACTGTTAGTCTGAGCCATATGGGGAGGTGTAGACTGCCTGGTTGGGGTACCACAGACGAAAAGAATTAGTGGTTGAGGAGCCTTGGTGACATGGCTGAAAATCTGTCACAATGGTGATCACTTCTTGACGTAATCTAAAGCTTGAATATCTGCGATGACCTCAACCTTCTAACCACCTGTTCTTAGTACACTACTGTGATGTGTGGCAACGCAAAACAATACGCTTGTGTGCAATGTCCCACGTTGATCTCATCTATCACTGTGCCATGGAAATAATTTCATTACCCACAGAACGAAATAAACATTATGATTCCTACTGTTCGCCTATCAGTCAGCCTGCGCCAAGAACAAATAATACTTGCATGATATTAAACCACTGACCAAAGAAAACACCAAAAAGGAATGAAAATCAAAATCCCCTCCCCCCCCCCCCTTCCAGCTGTCACCAAAAACATGTTTGCAGTGACCAATGGAAAAAAAAAGAGAAACAATAATGAACTCATGACATCCGCCTACCTCATAAAGTTTTTCATGCTTCCGTTTCATTTCTTCATATTTTGTTAGTTGTTTTTTAAAATTCTCTTGATTAACATTTATTTCATCAGGAAGTTGTTTTAATCCCTCTAACTTTTTCTCTTCTCCGTCAATATTTTTAATTAAACGAATTGTTGTCAATTCAATATGTTTACGTTCATCACGTAGTTGGCTATCAACAGCTTCTAATTGAGCAAATCTAGTTCTTTCTTCACGATATTGTATTTCTGTATCTGTATGATTTTGAGTGAGTTCATCTCTTTCCAATTGTAAACGTGAAATTTCTTGATTTTTCTCTTGAATTTGACTGATTATTTCCTAAAAAATTAAGCAAATTTATTGAAAGAAATTTAGTAACAAAGACAGATATTATTAATATAACACTACTCTACTGCTACTGTTACAATATCACGTCAATTCAAAATAATAATGATAATAATATAAACTATTGAACGTCATTAAAGGTTTATATATTATGCAGACAAGCAGATAAATAGAATCAACGTAGAACCTCTCTCTCTCTCTCTCTCACACACACACACAAGTGCATTGGCTCAAACTGCCACACTTCACTGAAGTCTACGAAAAACAAACGGATACAAAAAGAATGATATCAAGGTAGAGACAAAGTTACATGAGACAATAATCAATCTGAAGATAAAGGTTAGTGCAAATATTACGGCTTAAGAAGATGTCAACGAGTGAGTGAATACCTCTGCACCATTGTGACCAGTTTTTAGCTATATCATAAAGAATTCTCACAAACATTCACATTCCTATCATCTTCAGGATCTGAGCCAGGCAGTCTACATCCTCCTAGATAGTTCAGACCAACGGTCAGGGATTTCATAGACTGATGCCACGTCTAGGTTTGGTCATCTTGGGCCATTTTCCAATGTAGTTCAGCTTTGATAACATGGTATGTTAGACTGTTTAAAATTGGACACAGTGGAACATTCTCCTTAATTCAGCTAATAAGAATCATGTATACAATCAGATGGTAAAAGGTGTTGCAGTAATCTTGAGCATCTCAGACTAATTCTTCTTCAACAAGAACGTTACTTGATGATAAGCCTAGTGAGCGAGAAAAAACTGTGATGCACTCGACAATTAATTTATCACTACCCAAGAGATACCTGTAAAAGATAAATTATTGACATATTCAGCAGTGGTGGCATTTATTCAATGTTATTCACTTAACTACTCATAAGTAACTTATCTTTTAACACGCTCTAAATGTTTTTCACTGGTTGGCTGGTCCTCCTGCCTGATTAGTCAACGTAATGAGCAGACCACTAATCATATTGCATCTATAAACTGTTGACTGCAGCTTACGCGTTTTTCTATCATACAACTGTGCATGTGACTTTTTAATTAATATCTGTCACATAAAAGACATTACGATTAGCCATATTCCCATCACAAGCCTTAAGTCAATGAAGCATTTTACAACCAGTCATTTTGCTCCGGATTTTGGAGAAAAGCACACGGACCAAACAGGAGACATCAGATTGATGTAACAGGCAAACGTTATTGAGATATTCCACTCCACAGAAAACTGCAAATAACTAAGGCCATTGTAAATATATACTTTATTATTTGTCCTACGGCTTCCTAGTGAAATACAGGGCTTCAGTAACATGTCGCCATTTCACTATATTCTCTGCAGTCCTAACCTGGCTACACCCCACTGCCCACAAGCTTTCATTTCTTCCTCACACCATCTCCTACATGTCACCCTGACCTCCCCGACGCCCAACTCGTCGTTCCCCTTTGGCTTCCACTCGACAGTCTGGCCTAACCTGACGCGTGATTTCCTCAAACGGTCTTCTCAGTGTACACCAAATCCAATGCATCTCCACTTTCTTCTGCTACATATTTGTTGGGTGATGGGTTCTTGCTTCGTTGGTTGGTCTCTTGGTTATGTTGGTTGGTTTGTTGGTTGGTTGCCAGACCAGAGTTCCTCCTTGCTTATTCTTTCTGGCCTGGCCTGGCCTGGCCATGTGATTTGATCTCCAGTATGGAGTGAGTATAGACGTAGAGAGATAGGTGTAGGCGGCAGCTGTTGATGAATGTCTGTAGTTTGTTGGAAATGGTTTTCGTGATGCACCAAGTCTGTCAACCATCAGATGGAAGCAGTAACTTTAGTGGATTGAATTAGTGTTGAAAATCTGGATGTTGTTCACGCTTTATGCTGAGTGCAGTGGAGTGCAGTGGAGTTCAGTAGATCTGCACATTGATTTCAGAATAATGCAGGAAGGTATGTGTTGCTGTCTTTCTTCCGATCCTGGTTGGCTTTGATGTCCTCATTTGTGCCTGTGCTGCCTGTAGTTGAGATGATGCTGCCTAGGTATGTAGGTAGGTAGGTAGGTGAAGGAGATAACTTCGTTTACATTTCTCCCATCCATGGTGACTGGTGCTTGTTGTTGTTGTTGTTATTGTTGGTTGGGTATATTCATCATCTCTGTCTTCTTCTCTACGTTCACCTGAAGGAAGTGCCTTCTTCGCTGTCCTGTCTCGCTTCTTCTGTCATCTTGTTAGTTTTCGCCTATAGATCTTCGAGTTTATTCAACATAAGACATTAGACATGAATCATGATAGGTGAAATCCAAATCTTCTTCTGGGGTCTTTACATCAGTCAGGCAGCGTATGCTCATCTTCTCAGTCCTCACAGTTTCTTGAATGATCGACCCAGTGTAGTCTAGTCGACCACAATGAGGAAGGTGATCGGTAATAGTAATCGACAACCCCTTTGTTCACTTCGAAGGCATCACTGTGCTTTTCATATTGTTATCTCCGATGCAGCAAAGACCACCTGCTATGTGAACAGTAAGAAGCCTTGAAAATATAATGATAGGGACTGTTAATCATGTTTTTGCAAAGACGTTCAGCAAACTCGGAATGAATTTTATTTCGTGTATCTTATCCTTAGAAAAAGATAAGATGATTCCCTTCGTGACAAAAAATATAAAGAAGGCAACGCAGAGAAAGGACAGTGTAAGTTTTTTTTGTTCATTACATCACTACAAAATGAGATGCTTAGTAGTGACATGAAATAACACCGAGGAGTGGTCAATACGAAACGGATCTGGATGAATTCAGTGAGAAAAACTTGAAGCTCAACGAACGAAGCTTAAATCCAATGTGGCGTGAAGTATGATAAAATCACATCAACTGTGTGCGGGTTAATGATGCTATCTAACTGCTTACTTTCTGTAAGTAAACCGGATACCAGCGAATTACAAACTGATGAATGGGTGCCGTAAACCAATGAAGCAACAGCTCTACACTACTTAATAAACAAAGATTCAGATACCTAGTAATGATTCATAAGTTATTCAGCGGCAGGATATCAACTAAACATAACTACATTTTAAGTGGAAGTAGACAGAAACGAGTGACACTATGATATTTCAATATTTGAGAAATGAAATGTTTACACAGTTGGATGACGACAATAAAGCAGTTCGAGGGTTCCAAGGGAACCAGATAGATGTCTAGAATCTATGAGGCGTTCAACAATGGAGCTGGAGACGGTTATGTACTCACCCTTCACCGACCAAGCTGGATGATTTTCACTAGCGCATTTTCTAAGTGAGCGCATAGTATGCCCAACATACTTAAGTTCACAGGAACAAATGAACTTGTAAATACATATTGGTGAGGTCCAATCCATCAAATTGTCCTTCATCGACTGAACAATACGGAGGTTTGCAGCCGTTAATGACTGACAAACGTTGACGAAGGAAGTCCACGACAATATCACCTTTAGATACAAGATGCATGAAAAGCATTTTCTTTAGAGCCGTCTGAATTTGTTCCATAGTCTTCTTCTCTTTCATATTCTTCCCTACAAATTCGGAAATCTGGTCAATCGCCTGTCGCAAACAAGCTTTCTGTAGATGGATCTTTGAATAGAATTACTACGCCTCCTTTGGAGTTTGACATCGAAAAAAGTAAACATCGAGTTTCGTTCAACTTCCAGTGTAAATATGATTGGGGAGTGGTTGTCGTCGAAATTTTGCAGAACATGTGTCAATTCAAGGCTGTTATTACAAACAATGAAGGTATTTATCAGAGACTGAAATCAGTTGAAGGAACAATGGAAACCTGGGATCACTAGACACCTATCTTTTCCTAGTATGAGACTCATCACTAGGGCACACCCATGACCCTGCCTACCCCACCAGGGATCGAACCCACGACCTTCAGCTTCTGTGGCCACCACGTTACCATTAAACCATTGGACTGGAATTCACTTGTACATATTTCCAACTTCTGTCAGTTCACGGCATAGCGCGATCGCTACCTAGTGTCATCGTTGAGTATTTGTCCTCATGACCACCAGGTTTGCCCACCGGTCACGAATTACCATCTGAACTTTAAGAATCACCTCTCAAACATAGTCACCAATCAGCTCAACGGTAACGTTGCTGGACATGGAACATGAAGGTCCTTGGTTAGATGTCTGGCAGGGTCATCGATGTGCACTGCCGAGGAATCCCACACTGAGACGAAACAGCTGTGCATTGTTCCCAGGTTTCCTTTCTCCCTCCAACTGGTGTCAGCCCATGATGAATGACAACTTGAAATCACCAACTCCTCACAACCCCCAAAATAAAATCAAGGTATCATCCTTGTATCTTATGTATACATTGAAGGCTAGCCATGAAACAGTTAGCAAGTAGAATTCCAAATGGCAATCTCATTGCTACATCACCTATTCTTCTCTCGATTTCATCATTTAATCTAAACTGAACATTAAATGTACATCTTAGAAGAAGTTATATTCAGATAGTGATTTGGCAGTCCAGCATCTATATTCCTCGACTGGATGAAGTTGCATGAAAAAAAACACTTTCTGGAACATTTCTGAATAACGAAATGATGTCCAATGAAACCATTGATTCAGTAAACTCAAATGTATCAGAAACACTGTGTTTCAAGAGCTGTTTCTTTACAGATTCAAGAATTTCTACGAATCATTTTACGATTGTGTAGTATGATAAGTTTGTCATATACAGTATTGAACGAAAAGGGAAGGTATCTTTGTGCATTTTTGATAAACTATGCAGATGTCATGAGAAAAAAACCGTCTCTGGGTTTATCGTTGAACACTTTGGACATCTATCTGACTCCCATAGAAATCTCGTTTAAACTTCTCGACAAAATTCCATCATATCCATAAAACTAACTGAGTGAGGATTAAGTATTTATCCATAATCGAAATTTCAGCAATTCATACCTTTAAACCTCAATTGTGTATTCAAAAGAAACATCTTTACCTTCGCCTTACACAGATACTCTACACCTCTGTTTTTTATATCTTATTTTGTACTTAATTTACTTCTTCATATTTTTTTTTACATGTTTATTGATTTATTTGTACTAGATACCAAATCTTACTGTTCACTGGATTTTACAGAAAACTATTAAGATCATAACTTGTGTTATGTAAATATCATCTCATTCTGCGCATATGCCAATCGATCAGGTTTGACCTTTGACCGGAAACTTATTTGAAGAATTCCATCATGTTGCTTATACGTTTAGGAGTGTTCAGGTGTGAAAATGACTTGTCGACAAGATAATTATCTTCCCTGTTATCTCCTTTTTTGTTATTACAGTTATTATACTATTAAAAAATCACCTTAAACGAACAACAAATATGCCACAGTTTTAAAGTTGGTTCCACCTACTGAGGTTTGGGTAGATATGGACTATAATCAACCTTCACAAAGTGGCAGGAGGGACAGTATACCTACTGTAGATGATTGATGCGAGTTATACTCATTTATTTTATTGAATAAACTGTTTCTTATTCATTAAAATTATGAAGAGGCAGTGAAGACAAGACTTCAAGTGAATATAGAGAAGACAGAGGTGATGAAGATACCCAACCAACAACACCAACAACAAACTCCAATCACCATCAACGGGAGAAACTTAAAGGAAGTAGCCTCCTTCACATATCTAGGAAGCACTCTTTCAACTACAGGCGGCACAGACGAGGATGTCAAAGTCAGAGTCGGAAAAGCAAGACAGGCGTTCATTAGCCTGAAACCAGTGTGGAGATCTTCTACACTCAGCATAAAGTGTGAACAAGATCCGGATTTTCAACACCAACGTCAAGTCAGTGCTTCTGTATGGCTCAGAGACTTGGCGCGTCACGAAAGGGATTTCCAACAAACTAGAGACATTCATCAACAACTGCCTACGCTGGCTCGTTACTGAAGATGAGATGAGAAGGCGAGAAAGAATAAGCAACAACGAACTCGGGCTGGCAACGAACCAACGAAGCAAGAACCTATCACTCAACAAATATGCATTGGAAGGAAGCAGAGATGGATTGGACTGGGCATATACTGAGAAGGCCGACTGGGGACATCACGCGTCAGGCTAGGCACTCGAGTGGAACACCGAAGGGAAACGACGAGTTGGACGGTCGAGGTGAGGGTGACATGGAGGAGGTCGTGTGAGGAGGAAATGAGAGCTTCTGGGCTGTCGCGGAGCCAGATTCAAAAGACTTCAGAAAACAGAGCGCATTGGAGACGTGCTACTGAATCCCTATGTTCCATTAGGAACCCAAGGGACAAATAATAATAATAAAATTACGAAAGAGTCTCTCCGAAGTAAACAATAATAACAATAGTAGTAAAAGCAACTTCACGCAGACATTAAAATACAGTACCATAACAGCATTATGTCACTTTCTTCACTGGTCATACAGTAGACAAGATGGATAGATGTCGAGCAGTAAGGATTAAACAGCTGCATTCAGTTATCCGATTCCTCTACACAATGCAATCCTACAAAGAATCAGTTATCGCTTGAATACCTTAGTAATGATAAATTTCTTGATTTCCGCCCTGAGTAAACTAGGCTCCCATCATTGAAATAATATCAGTTCGTTCATGGCTGCAGATATTCCAACAACAAGTTCAATGGTTCACAGTTTCCAACTTCCGTCAGTTCGTGATACAACGCGACTATATACACATTTACAATATTGAAATAATAGCTGAATAATCTTTTACGATGACGACTAGTGACTTCAGTTTTGCTTGTTTAGGCATATACGCAACTACCCGTTGACATTCGTTATTTTCGCGTCTTTTGTGTTGATCGGCAGTAACTAGCTCAGAGTCCTCAGCTTAGTGGTAAGTGGAACAGATAAGTTAACATTCTTCCCTAATATAACCTCTTTCTCTCAGACTAATAAATAAACTGTTTATCTGAATACTTTTTGCCGCATAATATGTTTTCCAATTGGTTATTTGTTATCAGTACTTACGCGTAACCAAAGTACTGCTTATTTGGCTACTGGTGCACACTGATTTATGTAAGGCTGGTCAAATGTTAATCAATAGTAACACAACCAGACCCACGCTTACAAGTACTACTCACTAAAGCATTCGAGAGACTTTGCTCTGATTCTGGAATGGATACTCATTATGAGAAAATCAAAGTTCCACATTGATTCTGTTTGTCGATCCTGATTAATTTAATCATGCATATCATTCTTTAGTAGATATATGAGAGTACTACTGACAGAAGTAGGAACTATGAACCAATAGATTACGACCCAGTGGCTCAATGGTAACATGCTGGTCTTGAGTTTGAACCCTGGCGAGGTCATGGGGTGGACACTGTTAATCACGTCCCATACTAAAATCAAACAGATACTATCCAGTGCTTGCAAGTTTCTAATGTTTCTCTCTTATAAAAGACAAAACATCGAAATATAACAACAACAACAACAACAACACACTTACTTCAGTTTCTTTTTTCGCTTGTGTAAGTTTTTCTTTTGTCAATCTTGCAAGTTCACGTTTTTCAGAAAATTTTTGTTGATAAAGAACATTTTTCATAAGAATTAATTGATTAACTAAACGTAAGTAATTCATAGCTTCATTACGAACTCCTTCAAGTTCATCTTTCTCCTTTTCAACAGCTTTAACACGAGCAAGTTTTTCTAACCGTAGATCATTTAACTTTTCAATACGATCAGCAAATATGTTTAATGGTTTCTTGAATCGAGATGAACCAATTATATCCTAAATAAGATACAATGGAAAGAATCAGATTTTTTCCTTCAAAAAAAAACGATATAATCATATAGCGTAGTGATAACAGTTGAATAATGAGGAGGGAAGGAAAGGTATCCACCGACTGGTTGGAAGAAGGGCGACCTTCTCAAATTCGCAAACAAGAGAGAACAAAGTCTTTGCAGCAACTTGTGCGGAAACATGCTCCCGTCCATCTCAAGCAAAATATTATGCCGCGTCATCCTGGAGAGATTGAAAGGTGATCTGGATTCAAAATTACAACCGGAAGAAGCTGGATGACTGGTTTCAAGAAGAATAAATCAAGTGCGAATCAAATCGCAACGCTACACTATGCATCATCACAGAATACAGGATAGGATGGCATGCAACTCTCTACCTCAACTTCACTGATTTTGAAAAGGCCTTCGATCGAGGCGTCAATTGAGAATTAATTTGACAGCTGCATCAAAACTACGGTTTTAGTGCCACAAACCATCAACCACATTCAACAGCTATATGCTATATGATGACGATGATGATCCTACATGCCGAGTGATTCACAATGGAAAGTTCAGTGATGCCTTCGAAGTGAAGAAAGGGGTTGTCGATTACTATTACCGATCATCTTCCTCATTGTGGTCGACTAGACTACACTGGATCGATCATTCAAGAAACTGTGAGGACTGAGAAGATGAGCATACGCTGCCTGACTGATGTAAAGACCCCAGAAGAAGATTTGGATTTCACCTATCATGATTCATGTCTAATGTCTTATGTCGAACAAACTCGAAGATCTATAGGCGAAAACTAACAAGATGACAGAAGAAGCGAGACAGGACAGCGAAGAAGGCACTTCCTTCAGGTGAACGTAGCGAAGAAGACAGAGGTGATGAATATACCCAACCAACAATAACAGCAACAACAACAACAACAAGCACCAATCACCATGGATGGGAGAAATGTAAACGAAGTTATCTCCTTCACCTACCTACACATATACATACCTACATACCTAGGTAGCATCATCTCAACTACAGGCAGCACAGGCACAAATGAGGACATCAAAGCCAACCAGGATCGGAAGAAAGACAGCAACACATACCTTCCTGCATTAATCTGAAATCAGTGTGCAGATCTACTGAACTCCACTGCACTCAGCATAAAGCGTCAACAACATACAGATTTTCAACACCAATTCAATCGACTAAAGTTACTGCTTCCATCTGATGGTTGACAGACTTGGTGCATCACGAAAACCATTTCCAACAAACTACAGACATTCATCAACAGCTGCCGCCTACACCTATCTCTCTACGTCTATACTCACTCCACACTGGAGATCAAATCACATGGCCAGGCCAGGCCAGGCCAGGCCAGAAAGAACAAGCAAGGAGGAACTCTGGTCTGGCAACCAACTAACCAACCAACAAACCAACCAACCAGCAAACCAACCAACGAAGCAAGAACCCACCACCCAACAAATATGTAGCAGAAGAAAGTGGAGATGCATTGGATTTGGTGTACACTGAGGAGACCGTTTGAAGAAATCACGCGTCAGGTTAGGCCATACCGTTGAGTGGAAGCCAAAGGGGGAACGACGAGTTGGGCGTCGGGGAGGTGAGGGTGACATGTAGGAGATGGTGTGAGGAAGAAATGAAAGCTTGTGGGCAGTGGGGTGTAGCCAGGTTAGGACTGCAGAGAATATAGTGAAATGGCGACATGTTACTGAAGCCCTGTATTTCACTAGGAAGCCAAGGGATAAATAATAGTAATAACAATACTTCATTAGTCTGTGGCTATTGATTTCCAACCGATAGGTTACATGTTCAAATATACAGGAGTTTAGTAAGCCAGATAATATCAACGCCCCTCACTCAATAAGTGTGCCTCATTGCCTACAGCATACATAAGCCTGCCTGCGGAGGTTGTTGTGAAAGTTTAGTTTTGCAGAACAATATTGTAAACAACTAGATCCTAAGCATACCATTCACAGTCGAATGGTCTAGTAGAATGCTGTATTAAGCCTTTGAGTGCATCAAGTCATGACCTGCGGATGGGATTATGTAGAAATCCCAGCTTCCCTATGGGGTAGTTCACCAAACTCAGTAACACTAAAAGCAATTTCAGAAGCGGAATGTCTTAAAGGCTAACAATAACACACAACGGTGGGAATGCTAATATTAACAAGCAATAAGGTAAACCGACTCCCTTATGGTAATGCTGTAGACGCAGATTATTATGAAGAACACTGGGAAAGATTCAGAGATGGTATAATTTGGTCCGGTCTGTAGTTAAGGTCAAACAAGATAGCTGAATCCGACAAAAAACTGGTTATAAGCCCAGGCATGACGAAACAAAATCAACACCAAACACACACTCACCACCACCCTAGATAACTCGGATAATGAATCTTACTTACCAGCTATAAGGTACTTCCCACGCATGTCCAGCCTTAAGTAAACACGCTGATTCTGTCATCCTTTTGGGAAGGGGAGGTTAGTGAAAGTTGACTCCCCAAAATAGCACACTCCTCTCAGCCGTACAGTCTTCCTTTGGCGATGGTATGGGCTTGGGTGGATGCAGATTAGTAAAAGTTGAACCTGAGAATCCTAAAAAGGCCATGTATGACCAACCTCAAGCAGACCTTCCTTGGACTCCACCGTCATTCTATCTACAAAATTTGCGAAATTGCCAAGATACTGTCAGGATTATCTGTTTGCTCTCGACCGATAGCTACTGCCTTCAGGTTGTGGTCACACTTGCACATCATAATAACCCAACAAGCTGTGATGATAAAACGCTTGTTCCCTCCAGGTTCTACCATTCAAAAAACGTAAGTTTGATGGTGGCAAAGCAAAAGGCAGTTACCGTTATAGTGTAAGTTCGTAAACTGTGTTTCGGGATCAGAGGACGATGTCATACTGTTGACTGAATAGGATATGACAGCTATCAGTTGTTTCCCATGGATGACCGGATGTAAGTACCTAGCTGATACTCCTTTCCCTATAGGAAAGCGGAGGGGTTAGAAGAGGTTGGTCTTAAAAACAGCACACGCATCTCTACCCTGTGGCATACGCATGCCAGCTATACGGCTTCATAGTCAGATTCCAAACTGACAAAATTAAATCTCAAACATCTGAAATGGTGTGTGTAACTGACCTCAAGCAAATATCCATTGAGCTGTGCAGTCACAATCCTTTTTCTTGCTCATCTATCCTGCAGAAACAACTTTCAGGGTGTGGACAACCGGGAAGTGTCAACCACCCGGACCCTTCTAGTAGTATACAATGTCCAACCAAACACAACCCGTGATCTTAACCCCTATCTCTTCCTTTACCTTCAATTCCTGATACTCATGTTAATCCGCTTACAACTTCCTAAACCCCACACCCTGCGACTACTGAAACGATCCAAGACAGCAAAACACTACACTTAACCTCCTAAAACAATCCTGTCACTTTAATCTATGAGCACTCAACGTCCAAACCCAATGCTAAATCGAATAATAGACCTCACCGAAACTCTGGAATCTCGAAACATGGATATATGGTATGTTTCTGAGACATGTATACAAGATCAGAGTGCAGTTATTAACTCAACCACTACCAGTCAATACAGCAAATCTGCAAAATCCACTTCACCAGTGTTCAGCGATTCAATGGTTAACTCTCGTAGACTTGTTGGTGTTGTTGTAGAGCAGAAAGCGCACTTCTCGACTGGATATCAGCCAACAGTCATCTGTGTCCTGTCTCACTAAATGGATATGTAAGAACTGGAAAGGGTTGTGACACTCGTCTTTGACTATTTTGTGATCCCTACATACGCGCACCCACTGTCAATAGTTCAGATGAGGCAATGGATGAATTCTACGAGAAGTTGTCAATTTCGCCACATGAAACAAAATACACAGATAAGGGAGATGTGCTAGTCGGAAAGTTCCTACGGTATACCATGCTTACAAACGAACAACGTAAATCGTCTCAAACAGCTTTGTTCTAGCTCACTTGTTTTTATTCAGCCCTAACTTCAAGCATAAGCAGAGACACTATTTCACACGGCATCCGTTGACTTCAAACTAACGATGAACGCAGGTAGGTCATATTGCTATAAGCCATCATCAGAGAGAATTGTTACAGGATTACCGTTCTTTCTAGAGTATCAGTTTGAACCCCAATTACACTCTAGTACAGGCTGGTGTATGCCTGCGCATTACTGGTTGGAAGAAACAGGCGACAATGAAGCCTATCTGGACTCCGTTAGAAGATGAGAACGTGGAGTATGTATTTAGGGAAGAGATAGGTAAGCACTTATCTGGATATGACTGCAATGCTCATGCTGAGAAAACCTGACGTGGTATTAAGTTTGGTTTAGAAACAGTGGTAAAGACAATTGGTAACCGACAATCGATTTCCGCTACCTCATCGGAATTCATTGATGCGAGAAAACTCATTCCAGCCGGCTCTGACCACAAGGAAGAGCAAAACAAACTTGAACGTAAATTGAATAAGAGCCTTTATAATGATTGAGAGCAGCAGTGGGTGATGAAAGTTAGGGAGATGATTAAGGCATCAGCGTTGAGTAGCACCCGCTAACCATTTAAGCTAGTTAAAGATGCTAGCCAGAAGACGATAGTGAGTCAAACCACCAATGAAAAGGATGGGTCGCTGATAACCTCTCAAAACAAGTAGAACACTTTGAAGCACAGTTCAACTATCCTACAGCAACACTGAAGTTGCCTAACATTCAACCTGAACCTGATTCGGACGCAGATGCTGATCCTCTTAGAAGTTGAGAAAACTGTTTCAAATAGGAAGCCAGACAAAACAACACGACTTGACAGTTTGCGACCGGTATTCAGAGATGGAGAAGGGAATTACTGAGAAGAGTAACGAAAATACTAAGGAGTATATAAGAATCAGAGGTAGTTCCGTCAGAATGTTCAAACTCACTGATGATTCTACTGGATAAAATGGTGATGTCTTCACGGGAGAACCATCTGTGAATTGGTT